TTGTCAAATGTAAATGTCAACGTAAAATTGTAAAAACCGTTAGATTGAAATCTATCTCGCGAGATTGTAAACTGTCGAAAAATTGTAAACTCAACGTACTGCTTACAATTTAACGTATTATTATTCGGTAGATTATAATCTATCGAAGTGAAATCGTCAAATTGTGAAACGGTACGCACCTCGCGCGCTGATTGGTTGAACGGTATATGCCACGCGCTGATTGGTTGAACGGAATATGCCTATGTTAATTCGTTTGTTGTCGAATGTAAACAAACGGTGTTTTGGTAAATGTAAATTGATGTCGTCTTGAAAGTACCTCACAGATTTAGGATGTTGAAAGTGAACGTGAAAAGTTATATGAAATTGTTGTGGAAGTAAAATAATTCTGTGATTGACCAAAAAAGTGCAGTTTGAATGATAATTAAGTTAGTGTTGGTCTCCAAACATAGTCTAAATTACATACATTTTCCGTGTTTTAATATTTTTTATTCGCGTGAACCTCTGTGATCTCGTACAATGTCGGATATTGAGCCTGTCGATCAACAAAACTCAGAAATATTAGGTATTGTTAATAAGGAAGAATTTACCATAGAGTTACAAAACTATTACAGCGGGCATAATGAAAATAGTAAAAAATGTAATTGAAAAAAAATAAAAAGAAAGCTTATGTTCTTTGTAACTCCAGGTGCCACAACTCGTTGACGTGCAACAATAATTGAACATTTTTATTGGTGCAATTTACTTTCTTATTTTTTATATAATAGACAATTTTGTTATGTTTTCAAAAACATTTCATATGTTTTCGATTTGTTTTTTTTTTAATTTTGATTTTATTTTGTGATCATTTTTTTTCTAAAAGAAAATTTCATTAATTTTTCAATTTTAATTTGTGTTTGAAGAGAAAATATTGTTACGTTTCTAATTTTTTTATTTTGATATATTTTTTTTTCATCATGTGATGTCAGAATTATTGATTACCTACTAAGTAATAAATACTAATTTTTGAAGTGCATTCATTTTATTTGACCGATACCCTTGTTTCATTCCTAACTCTATGGACATATAACGGTCTACTATAAAGCCGACCAATCAGCGCGCGAGGTGCGTACCGTTTCACAATTTGACGATTTCACTTCGATAGATTATAATCTACCGAATAATAATACGTTAAATTGTAAGCAGTACCTTGAGTTCACAATCTTTCGACAGTTTATAATCTCGCGAGATAGATTACAATCTAACGGTATTTACGTAGTTGGTCCCAAAGTTCTGTCACTAGCACATTATTTCTACATTTCGAGCAGGATTTTATAAAAAAATTATTGCATTCTATTTTGGAATGTTTGATTATTGTTTTAAAACAAAAAACAATAACTTTCCGTAATTTTTCACGATGGAGTGGACATTGAAAGTAAACCGAATAGTTGTTATTGCGTTGCACCGCTGTGGACACTCGCCGAGTACCATTTTCAAGTTGCTCAAAAATTTGAATATAACGCTTAGGTTTGTGTACGGTACTATTGATAGGTACCTTGAAGTCTCCAGTGTTGAGGACAAGAAAAGAACTGGCTGGCCACGCTCCGCAAGAACACCAGCAGTAATCAAAGCTATCAAGGCGCGGATAGTAAGAAATCCTGTCCGAAAACAGAAGTTGATGGATTTGCAGATGGGTGTCAGTAGGAAAACAGTAAAAAAGGTTTTAAATGAAGATCTTGGTCTACGAGCATACAAAAAAAGAGTGGGCACTTACTTAATGCTCGTCTAAAAGCAATAAGGCTTAAGAGATCGCGGGTGTTGTTTAAGCGGTACGCGAAAAACCGACACCGTGATATCCTCTTTACGGACGAAAAATTTTTCGATATTGAAGAGAAGTACAATAAACAGAATTATACAGTGTACGCTAGGAGTTCTGAAGAAGCTGAAAATAAAGTTCCAAGGGTGCAACATGGACATCATCCATCATCAGTAATGGTTTGGTTGGGAGTGTCCTATTACGGGCTAACTGAGGTTAATTTTTTCGAAAAGGGGGTCAAAACCAGTGCTACAGTGTACCAAGAGACGGTTTTGTATCGCCTTGTCAAAGACATGTCCAGCACCCTATTTGCGGGACATCACTTCGTGTTCCAGCAGGACTCTGCGTCTGCATACAAAGCCAAGACCACTAAAGCCTGGTTTGAGCGTCAAAACATCGTCTTAATTAGACATGAGGATTGGCCTTCCTCCAGTCCGGACCTTAATCCTTTGGACCAGAAATTATGACAGGGCTTAGAGAGGAAGGTCTGTGATAAACCTCATGAAAATTTGGAGAATCTGAAGTCATCTTTAAAAAAACCAGTGACTGAAATCGACACGAATATGGTGCGTGCTGCGATAGACGACTGGCCGCGACGCTTAAGGGCCTGTATTAAAAATGAGGGAGGTTATTTCGAATATTTTTATGCTTTTTTTATTCCTTAATTAATGTACTAAGAATTGATATATCACTCATTACAAACTGATCAGTACTTTTGTTTTTATTTCCATTTATGACAGAACTTTGGGACCGACTACGTACAATTTTACGTTAACATGTATATGTTGCCTGCGCAGAAGCGAATTTTGGGTATCACTGGGGGGGAGGGGGGATAGAGTGACGTGTCCAATGTCCATCGCGTAATTGCCGATTGGTCCGTGATTGACGTTTGTGTCCCGCGATGTGCAAACTTTCCCCCGCTTGCTTGTTTAATGCTCAAGAAGTTTGCCGGTATTTCTGATTCGACTCATACTACTGTTTCTGAATACTGGAATTTCGGAGTTGGATTACTCGAAGAATTCCAATAATCTATGATACGTAAACGAATCAACCTCGGCAAAACGGAAGTCATGATAGTCGTTCGCCTAGATTTCTAGAAATCACAAACATTCACTAAACTATCCCCTCGATAAATACAGAAAAAGCTGCCAAGCTATGGATGATTAGACAGAAATAAGTTTATTTGCCATTTTAAGGCAGATTTACATTATCTTAGTATATAGGAGAGTGCTTTAGGATAGTACTTTAGTTGAAACATGTAAACGCTACTTGCTTTAGTAAACGCTACGCTAAAGAACTTGCCTTTCAAGTTGTACTAAAGCACTCTCCTAAACACTAAGATAATGTAAATCGGCCTTTAGGCAAAGTAAATTTGTATACAGGATATGATTAGTCACTAGTTCACTAAACAAGGTTCATTGTATAACAAGAGTGGAAAAATAAATCATGTGACAAAGTATATATACTTATACCTATATAACATTTCCGAGTCACATGTCTGATGTCATTATTTTCTTAAAACATTTGTATCTTAATTTATCTGATAGGATTTTTGTTTAATTTTTTTCATACATTTTAATTTGTCTATAAAATAATATAATAAAAATAAAAAACAGGGGTGCTACAATATTTTAGGTTTGTGCATATTATCTATATCTGTAACATGATCTTTTTTTTTATTCTGAACATGATCACTTTCTGTGCCAGTTTCCTCACAATGTTTTCCTTCACCATACAAGCGAGTGATAAATACACACAAAAATCACTGAAGTATATAGAGCAAAATGAAGTTGCACAATTAAATTGAGCAGTATGCACACCATCTTAATTCTTTAAGCAAATTTAAAGTAAAAGCAGAATAGGTAGTCTGATGAACATATAATAAAAATTACTTACATTTTCATATGTCTTATATATCTGATTTTCTTCACCTTCTCAATTTTATCCTTGTTTATACAACAGCGAGTAAAACGCAAAGCTGTTTGCGCTAAATTATTTGTTTTGTTAATATATATGTTTTCCAGCAAATTGTTATCGATTATTTGAGTATACGCGTTGACCATGTTAGACAATTGCTTGTTAAACTCCTCTGGGTTGGTGTCTTTTATATTTAATTATAAATAAAGTTACACCAACGGGGGTCTTTAAACTATCACAGTTAAAGACCAGTTTAAATTAAAATTAGAAGTGTTTGGAGCACTACTTTTTGTTATTGTATAAACACAACAGAAATGTACTATTAATTAATCACAAATAGGAGCCGTCATTAACGTCGATTTTTTTATTCACGAAATTTTCTTTGCACAATAAAATCTTACTTTCGACGCGGATGAATTTCGATGAGATGATGAAATAGTTTTAGCGAATACCTATGATATTTTGTACTCTATGGCATGCCGATTGCCGAATACCAAGACTCACGAAATCAGAGACAAATTCAAAAGGCTTTGGCAGAGTTGAGATAGCGTTATCTTACATAAGCGAATGAAAAAAGAAGACGGCTATCTAAATTATCACGAACACGTTGTAGAAATGACGTCTGAAACTTGACGTAAAATCTGTCAATGCAACTATTAAACATGAAAATATATAAAATTGTTCTCTATTTTCTATGGTCTTGGAGTAGATGTCATACCCGTTATGTCAAAATTAATTTGATCAATTGTCAAGCGTCAACTACATTTTTGAAAATAATAAAATAAAATAATTTTAATTATTTTTGTGGTAGCCTTATATAAAAATTTAACAATTTGTATGAATAACTTATCTAATTAGACAATTTTGCTCTGATCACAACTAAATATTAGGCGTATTAAAATTTTTCGTTATAAGAATAACATCTTCATATTGCTGGCATTTGCTTGCGTCTTATCATTAAATAGTATTATGTTCTCTCGCACTAAGTTTATTTGAAACTTCCAAAAAATATTGTGTTAATATTAAATGTCCTTGTGTTTGAGAGTTTAAAAAAAGGTATGTATCCATATTAGAAATGTATTGTTGCCTTGGACATGACCTTGGCATATGTTAATGGCTAATAGTATTTTTACTGATTATTTTATAACAAGTTTACTGTTTAGAAAATTTTGTAACATTCTTTAATTTGTATATACAAGAATATGTAACTCTCTCATCTTTATTGATTCTTTAAGAATAGAATGATTTATTATAGTAGATTACTTAAAACTTGATGATTGTTTTTCAGAACATGTCTTTAATAGCTGGAGTAGGAGATGAAGTTATACAGTTTATGATAACTGTAATGGTGATTGTTATTGCATCATTGGCATGGTGGTCTACAAACTCTCGACCTGATAGGTACAGGACAGTATTCTTAATGAGATCTCGCGGCAATCATCCTGTAACTGTGAGCATAAGAACTAGTAAGTAACATTATATTTCTACGAGACACATTCAATTTTTCATTCAAAATTTCAAAACATTACGTTTTTAATTTTATTATTGTCTGATATAGTGTTCATAAAATTTACTTTGAAATGATTTCAATAGGTTAGTGCTGAATAAAAATTATGTGTTTTGTTATTGTACTAGTGGTTTAATTTTTTATTTTTTTATAGGACCTCCTTTACCTGTCCGACCAAGACTACGCACTCAAATTACACCTATAGAACCAGAATCAATATGTAAGTTACAGTAATGAATTACAAAAATATTTTACCAATATTATTAGGTTCTGTTAGCAATTAAATCTTTATATGTCAAACTGTTCTGAGACTAACAAAAATTCCTCTAACTTGCTCCCAGCATGTCATTAAGTCTAAAAGAAAAATAACATTTTAGCAACCACATCAACATCCATCACTAGCAATGGAAATCATACGATTCCCATACAAGAAATGGATAGTATTGTGGATGCAGACATGGCTATGTTAGACAATAATCGGTTACATTTTTATAGAGTTGTTGATGGTAAGGAATCTATTATGTTACTTTATCTGAGACTGACTCTGTAGCTTAACAGTTGTAGTTGTAAGTAAATATATAAAAATCATCATTCCCGGTTCTTTGAGTATTTGAATGATATAGTTTTACTTTCTGGTCCCTAAATTATCTTCAACATAGATAAATTCATGTTTATGCTATCTAAAGGTTTCATATTTTTATGTGTGTGTTTATATGTGTATAAATATGTACCCTAAAGTTCCGAGTAATATATATCTATATATACCTTCTTTTCACTTTTGGCTCTACAAATTTTGCTTGAATTACTATATTCTTATAAAATATAAATTTTAAATAGCAGCATATGATCATTAATTTTATGATTAATATTGTTTTTGCTTTGTTTTAGCAACACCGAGTACATCACAGATAACAATTCAGACCAATGTCACAGAGACTGAAACACATGTGGATGTGGAGCCAGCCAGTGAGGCCCAAATAAGGGAAATGGATAGTATAGTCAGTGCTATGGAAGCAGATGTACCCTTGCAACATGGTAAATTAATAATCTTAGTTTATTATTAAAAGCTATTTGTTATCTATCAGGTTTGGATATAAAGTCTCTTCACATAGTTTTGATAATTGTTCCTTATTTAAACATGATGTTTCTAAAATAGTTTAGTAATTATCATATATACATTGGCTTATTTTATTTAAATTATTAGTGACTGAGATGTGACATATTTGTAATTTGTAAAAGATTAATTATTTTTAGTGTTATTCTAATTTTAATTATAACAACGTTTTTCTTACCTTGCATTAAATGATTCATATTATATATTTATTTTGTTACTTGCTGATACTTACTACTTTAGTAGCATACACTATAATGTAGTTTTGTAGGAGTGATATGAAAGATTTTTAACTAGTTTGGGTTTAGTTGTACCTATCTTAATTTTTTTTTTCATTTTAAGTAAAATTTTTTTAATTGCCATTTACTTGATCACCTTAGGTATTAGAGATTTGAGCATTAATAAATTTTCAGAAAGGAACACCACAGAAGCTCCCGCAACGAGTACAAGTAAAGAGCCAATTCCAAATACAAGTAGTCCTGTGGAGGAGTCTGAGGGCACTTCCTCTGAAAGTGTGGAGGTTGACCAGTCTAACAAGATCTTGATAAAGTTAAAATATCTCAATGAAACACTTAAAGAAGTTGAGGGTAGTCTGGATGAGCTACTTAAAGATTTTAAAGGGTGAGTAGTCTTTGTTATTTTAGCAATTATTTTGTACGTTCTAATAAAAGAGGTTACAATTGTTTATAACTTTAATGTATCTGGCTGCTGTGAATGTCCGGAATAAATATGTTTTCAAGAAGTTACTGGTTACTAGGCCGATTCATAAAATTCTTACTTTATTAAAAAGCGTGAATAAATTTGAATTCCGCAATACAGAAACCATACAATAATAATTACCAATTATTATTTTTGAACTAATATTGTTTTCCAGACGTCACTTCGCCGCGGAGCTATCGTCCGAGAGTCGTGTGCGTCTAATATTCAACGGGCGCGTGTTAGTGGACGAAGCGGCAACCTTACGCGCGTGTGGGTTGCACCATCAAGCTGTCGTTCATGCTTTGATACATCCCAAACGGAATGCACCTCCACAGGTATTTCAGCTGAGATTTTAGATTTTTTTATATGTGTTAATAATTATTGTAGGGTAATTAGTAAAAACATTACGCCTACACGTTTTAACTAAACGCCTTAGTAAAAACTTTTTTGTTTGTAACAGATAATATCCTGTTGTTGACATAATGATATAATATTATATTAATGAGTCGCGTAGTTTTTCAAGTGTAAGGAATATATACATATATATGTAAATTATTTTTATTTCCCTTGTAACCAAGCGCGATTCGCGTCACGCGAGTTATCGCATCGTTAACGGATGGAACAATTTGGCTAATTATTTTTTTTTATGTTTATATTTTGTCAGGAGACAGTTCTTATCAAAAAAATAATAATAACTGTCAAATGCAAATATAGTTTATTTTTTAAAGATTTTATGGCCCAAGCAAATATTGTTTAACACAAATCATAGATTATCATAGAGCATTATAATAATAAACACTATGTTTTTGAATAACATTTTTATTCATTGTCGAGTGACGAGTCAGCTAGTTTTATATAAATGAAAAGTAGTATATTCTATATAAATAAAAATTAATTTCGGTATGTATGTAGGTACGCGTTTAAGGTCGGAACAATTGCAGTAAATTGGATACATTAAATCTTTTTATTCGTTATTGTCAGGTCGCGGATTGTATAAAAACAATAAAAATCTTATCTCCATGTTTAAAACCTTATAATATATTTATTTAGACTACATAACATCACACTAAAAGCGAATTATTAAGTTAATAAGTTATAAATAAATTTCCAGCAGAACCCAACTGAGCCAGCAACGACAGGCGAAACTGTCATGACGGAGCCTCCGGCTGCTGAACGAAGCTGGGACCTCGAGAATATCCTGATGACATTAGTCAGCGTAGCGGTTACGGTCGTGTGGTTCTTCAGGTATTTGAAAATTATCAAACAAACAACTTGCATATAACTTTCTCTAGCTATTTATTTATTAAAACTATTTTTATAAACACTCAAACAAAACAATGTATTTCTTTCTATTCGAAAGTAGTTTCGCTTGAACTGTGTACATGAGGACGTGAATAATGTTGGGAGCCAACTTGTTTTTGTTGTGATATATTTTTCTATAAAGAATGCAATAGAATTTTACAGGCTAAAGCGTTATATAACATTGCGGTTTACAGCAAACACCAAAAATGCGTAGGGCTATGTAAAGCGCACATTAATATTTAGGGCTGTCATACTACGTGTATGTTTCTACACGAGGCGGCACTGTGGATAAACAGCATGTTTTTTTCAAGAATCTATTGCCCCAATTATATACCCAAAAACACAACCTCCTAAGTCGACTCGGAAATAACTAAGATGTCGACGGCCAAGTCCCCGAAACATTGTTTCTGTAAACATTTACGCCGTACTGCATCTTACTCGTTACTCATATATACTTGGTTTAGGCGAAAGTTTTGGGACCTTTACCGTTGAGATATCGCCTTAAAATTTGATATTGTCCCTGACAGTTCTGACTGATTTCAGTCACATCTATCAAGAAATACTTGGGTTATGCATAAAACTCAGAAAAAAACACATTTTTATTCATGTGGCCTTCAACTTTAATAAAATTGGTGGTAAATATTACAATTTAACGTCGTTTTAAATATTTTAATGAAAAATTTCAACTTTTTGTCATGTTACGTTTTATATCGCGCAACCCGGACATACAACAACAATTTAAGCCTTGACTTGTTTAAGGTATCGCGGAATACGCTTACAAGAATATCCATAGCGCTAAATAACCTGCATCATGAACACACCCCACATACACACCATACAAAACACAGCCGAATTGTATTACTTAGTCAATGTTTTAATAAATTTTTCCTTTCTAAGTTTCGTAAATATTTGAAACTTTTTGTATATGTTATGTATTCAATCTTTGGCTATATCTTTAGTATAATTGTTTTTGTTATATATCATTAAAGTAAGCTATAGGAGTACGAAACAAATATATACCTGTAGCCCTACCATGAGTTAAAAGTTTATTAATAAAAACTGAATTAGTCTTATTTCAGTCTTTGACGTACACTATCGTCTCTTTCTGTTAAATTGAGATAAGGCTGTGATGAAAAAAGACGTGATTGGTTTTTGTACGATGATGTTGTATTAAATTTTAATGAATAGGGAGGCTATACTAACAATAGCGATTTCAACATCATTGTTGTGATTTTGTACCGTGCTATTCCCACGTTGCGACAGTGGTCCATGTTCCTAAGAAAGGCGGTCATAGAGGTTGTATGTCGGATTAAAAATGAAATATTAACTTTTTTATCTTAGAAATGATTGTTTTAAGGTTTTAATGATAATAACAAGTAAAACAATAGATATATTTTTAAAAAGGTAGATGTATATTCTCAAAAAAAAGGATCCATCCGTACTAATAAATAATAGGTAGCAATAAAATAAGTTTTATTTATACATTATTTTCATGTTATGTCGTGACAACGAAGAACGGGTTTCATTTTTATATATATAGATTTCTGAAAATAGCTTAATTTACATATAAATAATAAAATTTACCAGATAATAGAAAACTGAACATAGGATTTATATAAAACATCGTCTTTTTACATAATAGGAAAACATTATAAATTCATTTATTTGAGATAAAATTGCCAACCTGCGACGTTTGCTTCTCTTGCTGCATTCTCCAAACTCCTTCCTGTGCTGCGTCCTGCTTGTAGATTGAAGATATTCGCTTGTCTCGTCGTCGTTTTCATGTAGTTCTCCGTCAGAGCTCCCAAGAATGCAGACTTCGATCTCATTTAACCAGTCACCGTATTTGGCAATCAGCTTAGCTTTTGACCTCCCCAGTTTCTTCCAATATGCAGCAAACCGTTTACAGAGATTACAAATTAAATCTCTTAAGTAATCGGTCTTGATATTTTCAGTGTCCGGTAAAGAATTTGCTAGCATTTCAAACACTTCACGAGATCTATCTGCCTCATTTTCTTTACTTGTCGCATTCAACCACGTGTCTAGGACAAGCATTCGAGGAAAAGAATAATTGATGATGGATCCTACAGAATAAAAGAAATGAAAATTATAAGGTATCAAATTTACCTATATACGACTTTGTCTTTGTCATGACCTATAAGCAATCCTCGGCGCACTTTGGCGCACCTAGATGTTACAGATTCTAAAACTAGACAAACAAGAGATTATTTTGATATATGTTTCATCTTTGGGGATTCGTTCCTTCCTAAGTAAAAGTCTAATTAAATATGGCAGAGCGGTAAAACTCAAAGAAATCTGAAGTCTTTCTTGATGGTGCTGATTACAGATAACGACACGGTTAAAGTAAACACAATAGGATTAAAAATGTCGTACATACCTTCTATTTGAATATCCATGGCAAAAAATTATCACAAACAATCAATTTCCGAGAAAACAACACTTTAAAACAATAGAAATTTTGCCGACAAAGACAACGCTAATTAGCACTATTGGAATGTTATCACTTCGGTTGCACAAAATGAAATGATCCTTTCATGTTATTGTAATTGTTTTTATATCTGGGGGTAGAAGGGTTATTTGTCTACCCTGTAGTGATAAATGACGTCATAATTCAACCATCGACATTTCAGCCCTATGACCTATGGGATGGACCACTGTGCGTTGCGACAAAAGCCGTATTGAGAAAACTAATCGTTATTGCATTCAAAAACATCGGAGCGATATTGAGGGTTCAGCTTCATTATAATGTAACAACTTTAACGTGTTCTCATAGTAAAAATACTTCCAGGTGCGAATACTCGAACATGTTCACGGTGAGTGCCAGTGTTGCATTATTCGGGCTGACGGTGTTCTACAGTATTGCCATATTCGGCCTTTATCTTTCCGACACATTCCACTTCGAGCGACGCCCACATCAGCTGCCTAACAATTGAGGAGAATGCATAACTAGGTTTTCATTGAAAGTGTTTGTATAGCTTTTTAATTTGGGCAATTTTACTATTTTTTAATTTATGCTTTTTTTATGATAAGATGCTTCGCTAATGAAAATGTCTAGTAAATTACTTGAGATTTGAACAATACAATTTTAATATTACCAAATCTAAAGCCAAACATTAACATTATTGTTTTTTTTTTTAATTATTCAGTCTCAAATTGTTGTTAAAGTAATTTCGGTACATTTAAGTTTGGGGTAAGCAAAGCCCTACAAATAACAGCCTACTCTTTTAGGCTAAGGAATATTGCAAAATTAACAAATGGTTTAAATAATATTGAAACAAACTGTATACATGAAATCTCTATTTGGTTTTATTGACTGATTGATACTTACAGTCGTACGCAGAGTTTAGTGTAATTAATTATTTTTGATTATAATTTAAATGGTGTAACTCGTACGAAATCGATTGCCTGATTGCAGAACCAATGTTAAGGAATAATACGGCAGTGAAGGATCTTTCTAGCTTCCCATTGGATTTAGTTTTGTTAATCCTTTAAGTAACTGACTTGACTTTTTAATGAACTCTTGAATGCGGCTGTTGGTGGTTCTAAATAATCAAAGCGCCTCAAGGATAATACAGTGGATTTCGGGTATAACAAAGTCTAATTTTGTCGTTATATCCGGAAGTACTTACAGGCAAAGGTAAAGAGATTCACATATTCGGAGTAGAAAAACAGTTGCTTCTTGAAATCACCTTTTAACTGAAACTTAACTCTAAAGGTATACGCTTACCTCGCTACTTAACATAGTATTCAAGGGATTTTGATTTAACGTCGCTATAGTCAAATGGTCGCTACAACCAAGTAATAAATGTAATCCACTGTTGTGGGAATTGATATTTTGCCTCTATAAGTTATAAATTTGTATATCATATCTTAAATCATAGAATTTATAACAAAGCAAATAGTGATAGTACTTGTGATGTGTGGCGTAGACCTTTAATAAGGACATTACAAATTTCTTGTAGAAATATGTAAAATAAATATTGTACATAATATGTTATTAACATTCATGTTTTGTGTGAGACAAGTTTTGTTGTAAATTCTTTGGCTTTTTATTAAGGCTTAGAGGTGCGGGAATTACTTTGTTACAGTCTAATAGTTAAATGTATTCTCGAAATTGTAAATTTATAATCTTAGACATCCCTATATTTTATATGAAGGGTTTCTAAATGTAACATTATATAAAATCTTTCAATTTTTCTGGAATTCTGTCATAGTTTTATTTATTGCATAATTTGTATGTCATTTATTCCGTGTTTACTTTGTATAACGCATAATTTTTACCAAATTTTTATTTAATGAGTCAGTAGATAGATCCCCATTGAGATTTTTTACTTTGTATAATAATTGTAGATTTTTTAACTATCAAGTTTGATTATAGCGTGGGTATAATTTTATCAGCGATAAACTAATATATGTACATTTATTGGCCCCATTATATAGAGATTATAAGAGTTGGTGGACGTCGGTTTGCTCGATTCACTACCATTGTATTTAATTATTTTGCACAGACCATTAAAATGAGGTTATTGTATGTACTATTTTAACATAAGATGTAAATATTTTATTAATTACCTTTTCATTTCGGCGATCGTTAAGGCCGTCCAAAAGGAATAACATTTAGGTGGTCTCAATTTTGTAAATATTTCATAGTTCTTGTACCTTATTTTCTCGCTAATATACGGAGTTTTGTATAATTTATCACCATTTTATGAGTTTCTCACGATTATCAGCATGTATTGTTATTTAATTGTAAGATAAAAGAATCTAAGGAATGAATGTTTTTTTTATTTCCATTAAAAATATAACTGACAATTTATCATAAAACCCTTCCGGCGAACTGCAATACAAAAATTTATCGTTACCGGTTTTTAAAAAAAAGTTACGCAACTAAACTGTGTATTTGCTTTATTGCTACTTAAAGCAGTTTGTTTCTCATTTAACTATTACCTATTTTCTTTTCAATATTCCTTCAAAGTTCAAATTCTTTACAACTTAATAGAATTAGTTGCTTTATCAGCTAAATAAATTTGCTTTAACAGTACATGCTCTTTGCAGTTAGTGGTACTGGTTTATAGGTTTCAAGGTTGTTGACGTGACAAATAAAAGAAATTCTACGTAATATTTAATTTATTTAAAACTAAATTTGTTGACAGCATCGATCGAGTTGTAACTGCAAATTAAAAAGATATGATAAACAATTTGTTTAATCTCATTAGTAGTATATACAGATATTTGAGAGAAAATGAACTAGTAAATGTTTCTTGCCGGATTGAGGATATTGAAAATTAAAGTTAACAGTAGCCTCACCTAGACAAGATTTACTCTTTCCAAATTCAGTGTTAACATTAACAGGTTGTTAATGAAGTTATAAAAGAATTTGGATAACATAATTTCATTTGATTGAAGATTAGTTAAGAAAATTACAGATCAGTTATGTTAAAAACCTTACCTTTTCAATGGAAATCCTGTCACAATCTTCCATGGGATACTGGACTATCTGGATAAAAAATTATAAGGTTTAACATATTTTCCACAAAATTGGTAATTTAAATAGAAAGAAGAAAATATCAGCCATCCAAGGAAGAATAATGCGTGGTAATCAGGGTTGCGCATTTCATAAAGCATGTTATCATCATTAAAGAGGTTTATTTATGGAATAAGTTAGAAGGCCCATAGATTGATTTTTTTTCTTGAGCTATGTCTCTACTTCAATCACAAAGTGGTGCTGAGGAAGTCAATATTACCCCTTCCAGTTTTATTTTTCTACACCAGGGTTTGTCTTGTATAAATTTCACTAGCTAGATGTTTTTTTAGTAGTTTTAAGAAATCTTACCTAAATGCCCAGTGACTATTTTTCAGCTGACAGATGATTGAATCAATTTAGTTTTCTTGATAGTTGTACCTGTAAATATAAGACTTTGACTATTTTGTTCATAGAGAAACTGCTAGTTCAATATGGTTGTAATTATCAGATAAAAAATAGGTGAGTATTCAGCAAAACCTTTCAGATTGGTGCATGACATAAAAATTCATCATTTAATTGAGACTACAAGTAAAATGTTTTGTTATATAAAAAAATTACCTTTTAGGATGGGAGAATTGTGCCCTGCAAACAAAAACACGAAATTAAAATATATTTCATCAACAATGAAAATTAGTGTTTGTAAGATACTTACACATTTGATGTAAAATGAACTTCCTTTGAATAAATAACAAGTAAAAGCATATGTTTAAAGTTTTATTGAAAACCATTGCCTTTCTGTTTGGCAGAAATATACCAAATAAAAAGTCAATGACCAAAATATGTCTGTGTTTATCGTTTGCGGCGCAACTGTAGGGTGTTGCGTCTGATCCAGGCAGCTTTCCGGGAGCCTCCCTTGGTCTGTGAGTAGCGATGACCCTTGCCCAGACCTCTTGAGCTCCGTCCTGCTGATGTGAGACCACGCATTTCACGGTGCTTATGGACTGCATTCACGATCCAGTTGATCTTAGGGTCACGGCGGATAGCCTAAAAGATAACAAATGATAAATATATTGAATAACTATATCTTAGGAATAGTCATGTTACAGATGTAAGAAACCTATCTCTACATGTGACTGTGTTTAAAACTTTAATGTAATGTAATGAACCCATTTTAATACAAATTCTTACCTTGTGTGATGGGTCAACTAAAATAACTTCAAAGTATTTGTATGAAGAATCCTGAGCGACCCAGTACGAGTTGAGCACACGTAGACCACCACAACGGCGACCGACACGCTCCTGGAATTTAAGATAAATGAGTATTACTAGATACTTTCCCTCGTAAAAATAGTTAGGTTAGAATAAAGAAAAAAAAAACACGTTTTGCTATTCAAAAGAGGATACCTACCTCAGCAATAGATTGGAGGTTACGGGTTGGCTTCAATTGGTTAACTCCATGACTTTTTGGTTTACCGTAAGTGGCACCCTTGGGAACTGGACGTTTGCGGCCACCACGACGCACGCGGATTCTGAAGATAACGAAACCTAAAATAAAAGTTTATAATTATTATCATATTAAGAAATATAAACACATGTCACGACACATGTATCATAATATAAACTCACCCTGCTTGGCACGGTATCCCAGTCTTCTAGCTTTGTCTGGCCGGGTAGGCCTTGGTGCACGATGCATACGAGTTAACTGGCGGTACTGCCATACTCGGACACGCAATAGAAACCGCATAACATCGCTAAGCTTTTTGCGGTACAACTCTTGAATATATCTGTACGCACCCATCTTGTGAGCCTGTGGCAGACCTAGCAACAAAATCAAGTGAATTGATCAGAAGTCACATCATCGGTCTGGCCACAAATAGAGCGATTTGAGACACATTCCGAATAACATGCCGCAGTAAAATCTGCAAGAATGGAAATCTGTGAAACTTAAGCACAAAATATTATATCACTGAACATATAATTTGAATTATTTGTATTTATAACTAATTTAGAAGAAACTTCCACAAAAGATTAATTAACTACATTAAGATTTAAAATTTATTGGAACACGTACGTCTCGGTCACACCACAGTTAAACCGGAAAAGATAGCTAGTAGCTACTGGACCAAAAGTCAAAGAAATTGAAGTTTGTAGACATCTTACAGATTAAACTTAATAGCAACGTCAAAATGTAGCACAGATAAAAAATATGTCTATGAAGTATATTTACCCTTTGTATTAAATCAATTTGAAGTTTCTGTATGATTCTTTATTAGTTCTTTGGTATTTCTACAACTTATTTAAAACACCAGACCATAATGTAATACTATTAGTAATATTTAATTTTGGTTAAAAATAAATAAAAAAGACTATTAACAATTTAGTTAGTGTGATTGCGGCATCAAATACATATTGTTGGACATGTAAATAATATTATCTAAATAGTTTTGGAATAATTTATTGCATGAAACTTTAACAAAAGAAGAGTTGTTAAAGCTAAAGACGTCTCCGAATGTGATAGTTTTTTGGAGCATGCAATGTTGTCATGAATTTAAGCAGATGTGTGTTATAATACGTAGCCATTACGCATTATTCTTATATGTACCAAACTTTTTCAAACATCTTTTTCTACAGACGTTGAAATATTTTGATGTGAAAAAAAAACTAGCTTCGTATCTTCTGCGTAGAAAGAAGAAAATAAGTAATAAATAATAAATAAAATAGTTAGAAGATAACTATTTCAAGATTGAAGGTCGAAGCATTGTTAAACTATACCTTCTTTGATAAATAATTAAAATTTATAAAATAGTAATTAGAGCATGACAACTTATTTTTATCGAAAAAATATCGACATTGGAATCGGAAATCGAATCATAACCATTCCCAACCTCCATAAATTATATGATATGACAAACATTGTTTTATAACCTATGGTGTTTTTGCCATTTGAATGTTTTTAGAAAGAAATAGCAAATATTAAAGAGCCTTTTGTTGCTTTTGTTATTTTCAAATACATATGATTCCTTCCCATTTCTTTTCAATGGACGTGGTAAAATAAAAAGGAATGTAAACTTCTCTTTCAGAGTATTTGGACATATTTTAATCTAATATATAAAATTCTCGTGTCGCGGTGTCTGTAGTTAAACTCCTCCGAAATGGCTCGACCGATTCTCATGAAATTTTGTGTGCATATTATAAATGTTAAGGGTAGTCCACCCCTAAATTTTTTTTTATTATTTTAGATTAATTATTAATTATTATATTAGAAAAATTATTCTTTATTTTTTTATGATACAGCATTAAAAAATACATACAACCCCTTATTTTCACCCCTCTACGATCAACCCCTATTTTTTATTACAAGTCGTCGGAAATATCTGCGAACCTGGCTTAATGACGTCATACAAACTGGAGAGATAGCAAAAAAATTGAAGATGTAAAAATAAAAAATATTTTATTTGTGTACTTATTTTTATTGATACTCGTACCTACTTGAAATTTACAAATACTTATTATTTACATTATTTAAAATTCAAATTATTTACAAATTTACAAATAATACAAAGAAAAAGTAGAGAGGAAGAGAAAGTGGCGAAACTATTCTAGAAAAGCCTCGACACCAGACATGGTAGCGCTGTCGTTTTCGTCATCTTCTATATTATCACTCAAAATGTTGTCTTCGGTTTCGCTGTCACTGTCTTCTCCTCCTAATGAAATTATTAATTCGCGTTCTTCATGTTCATATAATCTGTCATTATGCCAAAACTTATCTCTTAAGCGATCAACATGGTTTTCTGGAACATGGCATTCTTTTTTCCAATCTTCCGGGGTTATACTTTGGATCGCTGCCTTTGTTAACCTTTCTATATCTTTTTCTGATTGGTCAATATTTTTGTCTGCCACCCTTTGTTTCATCAAATTCCAAACATACTCAATAGGGTTGAGATCACAGTGGTAGGGTGGCAGACGTAATACCTCATGTCCATGAGCTCTAAATATTTCATCGATGAAATATACCTTCTCAGGTTTATTTCTTTGAATCAACATATACAGTTCTCTTTTAGTCATTTTGTCATCAAATTCGATGTTGTGTTCTTGCAGCCATGTTTGCATTTCGTTTTTACGTGCACTGAAATTTGGCGGCTTATTTGCCTGCTTACTGTGATAGGGCGCGTTGTCCATGACAATTATTCCGTTGGGTGGAAGGTTCGGTATCAATTTCTCTTTAATTCATTTGGTAAAATTGGACGCATCCATTTCGTCATGGTAATCACCGGTTGTTGATTTACACTTATATAGGAGCTCGGCTCCTTGTATGAAACCGTTCTCATTACCTGCGTGTACCACAATCCAGCGCTGACCAGGAGAGTGATTTATTCGGACACTGGAATCACTACTATTTTGCCAACATTTTGAGACAGTATAGTGTGAATGTATCCAGGTTTCGTCGATAAATGTAACTGGTTTTTTTCGGCACCACGTTCGTCATTTTCTTTCAGTCGCCTTAAATATTTTGCTCTCCAGGCTGCTATTTCAGGTCTTTGCACCAAAAATCGCGTTTTCGTTTACATTTTTTAAAGCTGTACCCCAAATCATTTATTAGTATGTTTCTTAGGGCGTCTTTTTGGCCGGGAAAGTTGAGCTCCCGTTTTGCTATTGTAAGAATCTTTTTTAAAGTAGGTATTTCTTTTCTTGTGGTATAAAAACTTTCAACCAAAGAGCGTATCGCGCATAAATCAAAATTATCTAGATCTATTTTCTTTTTGTATTTTTTACGCTTTTTCCCTGGTGTCGAGAGCTTGATAGTGTCCGTGGCAACTGAAGCTGAAGTACTAGGTTGTGGATGCTCACCATCTTCGAAGGACGTCATGTCTTCCTGAACATTCGCTGCTCGCGCTGTTTCTGTTTGTATTTTTTTTGCTTCACGTTTTATTGTCATTATTGTCGTTTTAGATAAACCAGTTGCAGCACAAGCCCTTTTTGTTGCTTGTTCAACCGGCACAGTGAAAGAGCCGTGTTTTTTTTCATTTTCAAAGAATTGGATTACTTTGAGCACTAAATTCCGCTCTGCACTATGTATAGTCCTACCCATCTTACATACAGCACTAAATAGGTAGTTTATGTAATATTTCACCAAACAGAGAAACAATAAACACTAAAATGCGATTACGAAAGCAAGAATAATACACGTGCGTCGGCGATTGCGTTGGCAACGGTACTGGATAGGCGAAAACGGGGCGGGGTGCGGGGAAGCGCCAGGGGAAGCGCATTCCAGCGAGGTTCGCAGATATTTCCGACGGCTTGTATACATGATATACATGGCAAAACGACGTTTGCCAGGTCAGCCGTCAGCTAGTAAAATATATTATTAGTCAGTCATCACATATTTTATTGAACTTATTAAAAAGTCAACGGTCACATTAATCTGGTAAATGGTAATACTAAAAAAACGTTTTACTCTATTATCTATTGTCTATACTTTTGTTCCGCCATCTTGAAAGCGTAATTGTTGTCATGTTTACGTTGTGTGGAAGTTGAAATTCGTAATTTTATGTTATCAAATTAGGTAAACATTAAATAGACTTTAATAATAACGCCATTATTTCAGTATTGACTCTGTATATATTTTATTCTTATTTATTATATGTACAAGCGTACTGAAACACCAATAAAAATTTGCCTTACGGAATGGGCGCCAAATTGGATCACCGTTGTTAAATAAACTTGCTGTTAGGAAACAGTTAAACTGTGAAATTCTTAATATTCGCGTTTGGGATTGTACATTTATGTGTGTGTGTTGTTTTCAGAACAATTTTGATGTAATTGGCCAGACCTTAATTCACAAGCAAAATGTTTTATGCACATTTTGTGCTGGCCAAAAAGGGCCCACTGGCCAAAATTTGGCTGGCAGCCCATTGGGATAAGAAGTTGACCAAGGCTCATGTATTTGAAACTAACATAGAGAAGTCTGTTGATGGAATTCTAAAGCCCAAAGTTAAGATGGCTCTTCGGACATCAGGCCATCTGTTACTTGGTGTTGTTAGAATATACTCTAGAAAAGCAAAGTACCTATTGCAAGACTGTAATGAAGCTTTTGTTAAGATCAAAGTAAGTGCTTTTAATTTTCTTAGTACAAAAGAGAAACTTGCTTTCAAATAACTAAGCTAAATGGAAATCTCTGTTTAGATGGCCTTTAGGCCTGGTATGGTAGACTTGCCTGAGGAACATCGAGAAGCGGCTATGAATGCTATTACATTACCCGAGGTGTTTCATGATTTTGATACAGCGATGCCAGAACTTAAGTAAGTTAACAATAATGTTCTATTAAGACTAATTTTAAAATGTTATTTTCAACTTTTTTAACAAACTATTTTTTTGTAACTATTAGTCTATAAAAATATACATTGTCAATGAAGGAATATTTCTAAACACGTCTGATATAATTTAAAAGAAGTATTACCCTTTACACATTTGCGAATTGTAAAGTTGTCAGTAATCATAATATGCTTTATTCAATAATTTGTTTTTTTTACTTAGTGAAGTAGACATTGAAGCTCAATTCTCCCTAAATCAATCACGGGCAGAAGAGATTACAATGAGAGAGGATTATGGGTCCTTAAACCTGGTCACTCATGATGATGGTTTTGGTGATATGGGTTTTGATACAGAAAATCCAGATATAATGAGAGATGCCATTGGAAATGAGGGTGGATTGGAACAAGTATGTAAAAGTTCAAGTTTCTTCTTAAAAATTTGTTTGCAATTATTAAACACAAATTAACTTACCTTTAAACATTATGATTGAAATTTAATTGGATGCCATTTTTTGATAATTAAGATTATATATTTTTTAGAGCAACCTGTTATTTGCGGAAGGATCATCTCTTGAATTAGGGAAGGATGGACAAAATGCAGGGGTAGGTGGAGCTGCTCCAGTCCTGGCCGAATCTCATGCACCGAGGATGGAAGCTGCTCCCAACACCCACATGGATGATGGCTTTGGCGGTTCTATACCAGATGTTGGAGATTTTGGACGTATGTTTCTATGAATTCGCTTATTAAAAAACATAATTTATTATTTAACATAACTGGAAAATAGATTTACAGATACTCCAAAAGTATAGAGTAATTAAAACAAAATTTGAGAAACCAACTACTTGGATTAAACTATGTTTAACACTATCTTGGACATAAATCCATCGAGATCTGATTTAGTTTTGATGAATACTCTTGTATTCATAGAGATTGTAATTCTCACATCCTTGTATGTGTAATTCCAGACGCTGGCGGTTTGTTTGAGGGTGATCTATTCGGTGACGTCACAGCAAGTAGTTCAGGCGCCGGCGCCACACCCGGAATGGCTGGGACTTCTGCCCAGCCGCAATCTTTGCAGGTTAGTCAACATTGAATTTAAGAAAACATCTTTTTCGTCCTGTGTCTTTGGGGAAGCTCATTTATGAAGCAATTAAGTGATTGGCTTTGAATTGGCAGCACAGTCTTTTATAAAAATCATAATACCGACTAGTTATCTGTCAATTTAATGTAGCAGTCTCTCACTGATATAGTGAATAATGTAATAAATTCTCGTTTTAATTCGTTAAAGACGTCTTATTTAAATGTATTTTTAGTAACCGGAAGTAATAATCAAAATAAATAAAAAAAACAATTAGAAATAACCTAAGAAGTGAATTAACCAAAAATAACTTTATTAAATAACAAAACACGGTATATTCGAAAGACACTAAATCTACCTTAAAGTTAATCTTATAAAATCAAAACAACACGACTTAATTAACTAAACGAGTATTTTAAAAACAACCGTTAACCTTAAAACTATTACACCAAAATCACTGAATAACATGGAACGAACTCACAGTATGCAGCCTCGATACCAACCACCTTACTTGTTCACGTCCGAGCGGCAAATGAGCCCCCCGCACATTGAGGCCTTTCTTTTATAAAAGGCGGCTGGGTATCGAAACTACCTACTGCAATTTCTGCTTATACGGCCTCTCCTGACTGTGCACCGTCCTCGGATGCACTGTTGATCTCTTCTTTGGAAGAACTGGTGGAAGGCATGACGGTATCTTGGTCACCATGTTCACCCATATGTGGTTCGAGTGTTCTTGAGGAAGCAGCAGGACTAGCACACGCAGCTGAAGGCTCGCCAACGTCATCGGGGTATTCGTCATCGCAATCTGTGCAACAATTATTCTGTTAGTTAATTAACATCAACATTACGTTAGTGCCTAGTCTGTCATTCATCACTCATTCAAGGCCCTGATACAAAAGCACACTTCCACAACTTTAGCTAAAACACTTCACTTTCAAAAGTATGCATACATCATCTCGCAAGACATGTCACACATTCTCATACTTGAACTTGTACAAGTTCCCCCGTTGCGCCTGAAGTGCGTTGAAAGAACACACCACCCGGGACAGCGCCCGTAACACTCTCAAAAGAGCACCAGCACTCAGGCTGCCAGGACTGCGCCTGAAGTGCGTTCAAAGAACACACCACTCGGGACAGTGCCCGCCACGCGCACAGGATGCACGTCTGCCGAGGCCCGCTTCTCAGGGTTGATGGCCTCAGGAACACACCATGACCGCACCATATTGGCAGTCCGTTTCAACCAGCAAGGCACACAGTCGCCTCACACTCGCACGTATATCACGCGCGCATCCTTAACATAAGGAAATAACATATTAGTAACAGGGTTGAAACTTACTTTCGAAAAATGCGGCACAACTCTCAGGACACCATTCGCCTTTCCAAGGGATCATATACTGAGATGCGGCCTGAGTTTTCTTGCCCCTGGATCCGCTTAGTAACCTCAGCTCGTAGCGGTCACTAGGTAACACCTTGATAACACGGTAAGGTCCTCTCATACCGGGATCAAGTTTCCCAGTTGACTGTGTATATTTGATTACGAATACTTGATCGTTGACCTGGAATCGCTTGGGCGGGTGTCTTCGACGATTTACCCGAGCATCTTGTCTGTCTCGATTTCTATCGAGCGATGCCTTGGCAGAGCTTCTGCTGAGTTCCCTCAAGGCTTCACGATTGGGGCTTGAGCTATCGATGGCAACATCGCGGACCAGTGCACGGATGACAGGAGTGGCTGCATGAGTACCGATTAACAAATACAAAGCAGAATATTGTGTGGTTTTTTGTTTAGTTACATTTAAAACTAACTGAATCTTACCCAAAGCATTAGACCAAGTTGAAGCTTTATTGTTACTCTCTATTCGAAGCAAATTAAGAACGGTTCTTACATAACGCTCGGCTTGCCCGTTTGAATGATGCATTCCGGGCGTTACGTAATGGATATCACAGCCCATTTCAGACACCCAACTGGTGAAGGCTGACGCTTCAAACATTCGACCACGGTCGCACACTATGAGCTTAGGCGTACCAAATAAAGAAATTGCTCTATCGAAAACTCGTTTTAATTCATTTGTGTCCTGCCTATACATAGGATACAGTAAACAAAATTTAGTAAATGAGTCAACCACAATTAGCACAAACTTGTATCCATTAGACTCGGGCAACGGACCCAACGTATCAACATGAATGGTATTAAACGGAACATCCGACTTTTCCCATGATGTAATGGGTTGATGTGGGGCTCTGGGGACGCGTTTCTTAGAAATGCAAACCAAACAATGGGACGTATATTTACGAACAAATTGCTTTAAACCGGGAAACCAAAAGTGTTTTAAAATTAGGTCATAAGTCTTGTCAACCCCGATATGCTCATGTTCGTCATGGAATACCCTCAGTAAGCTAAGCCTGTGACCCTTGGGTACATAACAAAGTAAACGCGGCTCCTCACCAACGGGTGAATAACGATAATAGAGCACATCGTTTTGACATACGTATCGTCTTGGATCTAAATTACCTTCTCCGAGCTTACGTATGAGATCGGCGGTCTCGGAGTCGGCTGATTGGGCCATTTGCGCCCAGTTCAAGGGCCGTTCTATGTTATTGACTTGCAACGCTGGTGGATTCCTACTCAAGTAATCCGCATGACCCATCATAGTACCTTTACGATATTGAATTTCAAAATTAAAGTCCTGCATGTAAATCCACCAGCGTGCAACTCGCGGAAGAAGATCCTTCTTACGTTCGGTGGCCTTCAAGGCATTGCAATCGGTGATTATCTTAAAACTTATACCAACCAGGTAATGCCGAAAATGTTGCAGAGCCTTGACGACCGCCAACGTTTCTAATTCATATGAATGGTACTTGGGCTCCGCACCCTGGGTAACCCTACTAAAATAGGCTACTACTCGTTTATTACCATCCGTGTGGGCCTGCATGAGCACGGCACCATATCCTGCACTGCTAGCGTCGGTGTGTAGTTCAGTGGGAAGGCACGGGTCAAAAATCGCAAGTATAGGCTCGCTGGTTAATTGCTTTAAGAGCTCTCGTCGGACTTGATCTTGTTCGGGTCCCCATTCAAATTTGACGTCTTTCTTAGTGAGACGCGATATACATGCGGTTTTTGTCGCGTAGCCTTCAATATAACGCCGGAAGTATCCAGCTAAACCTAAAAATTGACGTACCTGCTTGACGTTAGTTGGAGTAGGTGAATTAACCAACGCTTCAATTTTATGCAGACTCGGCCTAACCTGACCATGACTGATAACACGGCCCAAGTACTCTATTTTAGTGGTGAGGAAACAACACTTTCGCAAATTGACAGAGAATCCAGCTTCTGTCAAAGTCTTCAAAACATCACGTAATAGAGAAATACCATCGTCAATAGACATGCTTACAATAAGAACGTCGTCAATGTACACCAGCACATTACCAGCCTCTATAAATTTACGTAAAGTGTTATTAATAATGCGCTGGTAAACTGTGGGAGAATTACATAATCCATACGGCATTTTAAGATACTCATAATGAGCCTCGGGAGTAACAAAACCAGTTTTGTGGATTGAACTCTCGTCGATTGGGATCTGATGGAACCCTGATGCCATATCTAATGATGAGAAGAATCTAGAGCACCCAAGCCGATCAATGTGGTCATCGATCAATGGTAGAGGATACCTATCCTTGACAGTGATTCGGTTCAGTGCTCGAAAGTCAACGCACATTCGATCTGAACCGTCTTTCTTTTTGACCAAAATGATAGGGCTTGCATACTCAGAATCAGACTCTCGGATGATCTTTTTATCTAACAGATCCTGACAAATCTCCCGAACTTTAAGTTTCTCAGGGTATGACAGACGATACGGATGGTATGCGATAGGTACGTCGTTCATCAAGCTGATGTGCATTTTACCCGTAGTCACCGTCGTTGTTGCTGTACCGGATATTAAAAACGGAGAGAATTGTTCTATGACAGCCATCAACTTGGCAAGCTCCGCACCTTCGAGAGGCGTATTTATGTTGTCGAACCCGTTAGCATTCACAGCATTCACCCCTAGTACCCTATCTGGTGTGTGAGTTAGGTATTGTTCATGTTTCGTGCGAATAAACGTGACGCCATCACGATTGAGAACGTCTGTCCCTATTATGATCGGCGTATTCATATACGACGCAGGTACAATGAGAAAATCAACTTCAAGCGCGATATTACGTAGTTCGACTGTCAAAGTAATATATTCGTGGGCGACAAACTCTTTGTCACCTATTCCCTTCAAAGAACAGTTAATCGGTCTGCGTGAACCAGAAAAGTAGTTTACTACCGCAGATGATATCAAAGAAACATTGAGTGCGCCACTGTCTATTAAAATGTCGACGGGTATACCCTGGATTACGGCTGTACTAATGTCGTTGTTGTTCTTTGTGGCTAAAAGCTCGTTGCATAAATTCACTCTTCGCTGGTTACTATTATTACCGCTCTGAACCGCAGATCGAGCTTTCGCAAAGCAGTCACTTTCTCTGTGTCCACGCTTCTTACAAAAAGAACAAACCGGCCTATCATCAGTATTTTCAGGTACATTTCGCTTCTTAGGGCACTTATCTCTAAAATGACCTCTTTCACCACAGACAAAACATTTATTTTCTGGTTTACTCGAACTACCAAAATTACGCTTCTTAGCTGCACTAGAATTGAACGATTTCGGCCTATCAGGGTTGCGATTATCGAACTTGCGGGCAGACTTAACATAGGTGGCTAAAAATGAGACGAGATTTTCTGTCGTTAAGTCGGCGTTAGTAGCTGCGGCGCGCACTTGTACATCATTAATACCAAAAATCACAATTTGAACCATAAGTTCCTCGCTTAATCCATTTACAAGACGTAAACGCAACAACGAACGACGCGCGAATTCCGCGTATGACATAAATTTTTCTGACGTAGAGTTAATGACTTCGTGGAGAATTTGCGCGTAGTTTACCGTTTGTGGACACAAGGACCTAAACTCTCTAACGAAATTTGACCATGAGCGCTCGTTAGTAGCCCATTCATTTAACCAGGCTTTTGCGTCACCTCTTAGGCAATTAGCTACTCGAGAGAAGCACTCATAGTCGTCCCAATGGTTTGCCCGTATAGCCCGCTCTACTTCGGCGCACCACACCCCAAAGTTATTGACAGCCGGATCAAAATTAGATACATAATAGTTGCTAGGTTTAGGCCTCGTTAACATACCTAAAGCTTCAACGAACGCTTGAGTAGCGGAAACGTTATTTTTATCAAGCGGAGGTGTGCTACAACGGACGGACGACGGTACGTGCGAGCCACTGGCCGTATTCTCCTCAATAGCAGTCAATCGCGACATTATTGACCCTAAAGCATCTTTTACAGAGGCATCTAGAGGGTTGGATCGAGTTTTACTAGTTCCACGACGTAAACCAACTGAGCGGGACCTCGACCTGTCGCATGAATATTTGTCACCAGAAAGAGGGCGATCACGGCCCGAACGAGTTATATCGTGTCGCGAGCGCGATCTATTATTGCGCGAGAGGAAACGGCGCGAATATGAGCGTGACCTTCCATGGCGCGAAAGCGAACGCGACCTATCGCGACACGAACGTGACCTATCGCGATGCGAGCGTGACCTTTCGCGATGCGAGCGTGACCTTTCGCGATGCGAGCGTGACCTATCGCGACGCGAATATGAACGCACTGCATCATGACTTAAACACTGCCTACTGTCTCGCACAGACCGCTTTCGATGGCTACGCTCAATATCAGAGCGAGGCGGCGGCGTCCTAATTGATCGTTCACGGTAAGCACGGGGCATCTTATTCTTAAAATTAACGGTTGTTTGCTCGTTTGCAAGGCTTATTTGTGAGCGAAATCCTATCCCACTTCTGATTTTAGTAACCGGAAGTAATAATCAAAATAAATAAAAAAAACAATTAGAAATAACCTAAGAAGTGAATTAACCAAAAATAACTTTATTAAATAACAAAACACGGTATATTCGAAAGACACTAAATCTACCTTAAAGTTAATCTTATAAAATCAAAACAACACGACTTAATTAACTAAACGAGTATTTTAAAAACAACCGTTAACCTTAAAACTATTACACCAAAATCACTGAATAACATGGAACGAACTCACAGTATGCAGCCTCGATACCAACCACCTTACTTGTTCACGTCCGAGCGGCAAATGAGCCCCCCGCACATTGAGGCCTTTCTTTTATAAAAGGCGGCTGGGTATCGAAACTACCTACTGCAATTTCTGCTTATAGTATATACTAAAAACAGTGTTGGCCCAGTGGCTTCAGCGTGAGACTCTCATACGTGAGGTCGTAGGTTCGATCCCCGGCTGTGCACCAATGGACTTTCTTTCTATGTGCGCACTTAACATTTGCTCGAACGGTGAAGGAAAACATCGTGAGGAAACCGACATGTCTTAGACCCAAAAAGTCGACGGCGTGTGTCAGGCACTGGAGGCTGATCTCCTACTTCCCTATTAGATTTAAAAATGGTCATGAAACAGATTCAGAACAGATTTATTTTTTATTTACTAAAAGCAATATATATATTTCAGGCTGAAATAGACGCAGCCGGAGTGGGCGGTGGCGACACGGCAGCGGCTCCTGAAGCGCCTGACTCTGACGATGATATGGGAGACCATTATGACGCCGGGGACTCTCCACATCACAGGTACCACTTACGTGTATGAAGTCACGTAGCCCCTTGACCACTGACTGGACTGAGCCTCCATTGGCCGAGGTCGAGAAGATATATTCAGGGTATAACGTCAACCTACTGTTTGTAGCCGCAGATATTTGTTTTGATAATACAAATATAGGTATAAATGTTCATCTGATTGTTAAATATTTCACTATTATTATTATTTACTCTGTGCACCAATGTACTTATCTGTCTATGTGCGCATTTAACTTCACTTTTATGGCGAAGGAAAACATCTCGTAAAAACAGGCATGCCTTAGATTTAAAAAAGTCGACGGCGTGTGTCACCTACTTGCCTATTAGAAAAAAATCTGGAGCCCAGTCGTAAACGGACGTAGCGCCATTGTTTTTTTTTATAATTCAAATATATAATGAATATATAGGTGCGCGTGAGGCGAGCACCATATAAGAATAGTTTCTTAGGCTAGGCAGTAGGAAGACAAAGGAAACTTCTTCAAGTCTTAAATATATTACAATTTACACAGAAGAAACAAAGTTAATAAACGATAAGAGTTGTAAGCACAATAAGAGAAGAGAAAGCGTTTAGACAAGAATAAATTAATTATAAGTAACAAAGGGAGAATTCGTAATTCGCGCGCACAGGTTTAGCGTTTGATAATTCTAATTGCACTGTCCGCTGGTCGCGCTGCCACTCACTGCAGGCTCCACCCACCGCGCCCGTGTCGTCACACATAGCGGTAAAATCACCGACGCGGTGGAAAAGAGGAGTGGTATTATTGTTCGCCACATATACTTATCATTATTCGTTTTCTAATTCATTGATATTTTTTTAAGACAACTAGGCGATTAGCGTTCTGCGCTTACCAGTAAAATTTCGTCTGGAATAATATCGAGATCTTCGGAGTAAAGCCCTTAAAAGCCCATTTACATTCGCGTACGAGTCGCGAGGCGAGGGACGAGGCGAGGGGCGAGGTGCGAGTGTGAACAGACGCTCGTGGCTCGCCTCGTCCCTCGCCTCGTCCCTCGCGGCGCTCGCGTCCCGAGCGGTTTTTGGGGCACGAGTCAAAGGACCTCGCGTCGCACGCGAGTGGGTGTTTACATTCGCCCTCCCGCTTTATTCTGGCTTCTACATCGTGCCGCGCAGGTTGTGTTTAGTTTTAAATACGCAAAAACAAAAACGCAGTAATCGTATAATGGATTGGTCGCAAGACGAAACATTTAAGTTCATAGAACTATTTCAAAAAGAACGAATAATTTGGGACCCTAAACATAAATGCCACAAGAACAGCAAAAAAGTTAGCGATGCATGGGCGAGATTGTCCGAAATAATGGGAAGATCTCAAACAGAATTAAAAAACAAGAAAAATTCTCTCATGGCTACATTTCGCCAGCTACTCCGGCGCAAAAAACAATCAGTAAGGTCCGGCGCAGGAGATGATGATATTTACAAGCCAGTGTGGTTGTATTACGATGCTATGGAAACATTTTTGGCATCCATTTACGAGTGTAACACGTTTCTTTACTACTTTCCTTTTATTTAAATTAGTGACGTAGCAGTATAAGCCCAGTACGCACAAACTTGTTGCTGCTAAAACTTCGACGTCCTCCATTGTTGCTAGCTCAAAGACGACTGAACTCGGCACGCGAGTGTAAACAGGCAACTCATTTACCATCGATCAACACGAGCCTCGCACGAGGGACGAGGCGAGCCACGAGGCGAGGGACGAAGCGCGAGTGTAAAGCCCTTAAAAGTTACCCGAGACAGAGGTGATATTTAATAAATGATTTCTGTATGTAGTTGGGCGGGATCTCCTGCGCCGGAGTGTCCCCCTTCCGAGGATGCCGCTATGCCGCCTCCACCACCGCCCGTGCAGCCCACGCTGCCCATACCTATGGTGAGAGCTATAGTAGACTTTGAAATAAATAAATTACTTAAAATAGTTCCATACTGTATCTTAAGAATAAAGTGTGAAAAAGTTATATTATGTTTAAAAAATAAAAAGTATAAGGTCGGTATTGATATTTTAAATAATTTGAAAACTACTTTGTTGTTGAACTAATGGACTAATTATCTCTATGTTTAGTTTAGTTAGACTAAATAATAACTACAAACAGCAGTTTAAAAACTTCTCCATAAAAGTACAATAAACTCTTGGTACTATTTATTTATAAAAAAATACTTTATATAAATGTACAAAGCTTTATATAGGCAAATACTATTAACGAGATCTCAAAATAATCTTCATTTTACAGGAAGTAGATGGGATGGAGTCCCAACCGGAAATAGAGCGGCCGGAAGAGCGTGCGGAGACACCTGCGCCTGCGCTCGATTCTACTACTTTGCTACAAAACGAGGAAGAATCCTTCGCTTTGGCTCCAGTTGATGCTACTGTACTTAAAGGTAAATAATAAGTGTTATTTTGGCTTTAAAAAGACTATCTTAAAGGTACTTGTTTTAAATTAACATTGCTTTGAAGTTACCTTTGTAGACTGTAAGGGTCAGATTCAGAGGCGAGACTTATGAATTATTAAGTATGACTCACATAATAATTATGTGAATTTGACATACGGAAGTCTTGGTGCTAAGTATCGAAAACTCCCAAACTTAATTATTTCTGTTATAAAAATACTTTTCAAAGTAGGTGTAGTTTGTAGTAAACATACATGATTTTTTGTATGATACATAATTTAAAAATAAAAGAAGCTTACAATAGTGTGGTGTGTGTTGGTAGTTTTTCTGTCCCCAGGACTTTGAACAAATTTAAAGCTTACATATAAATTATATACCAATGATAGATATTTTATTGCGCATCTCGATAGAATGCTGTTTGATTCCAGATGAATAAAAATATTAAAATTTCTGTCCCATTAGATAGTTACGGGAATTACATTGTTTTGTAGCAAATATATTTCTATATACATTTCATTGATCATAAAAAATCATATTTTTCAAATTCTACAAATATGTAGAATAGCCTAATAGAACTACAGTTTACTTCAAGCTTGCTAACCTCCCGTATATTGTTATTAAATAAATATGATAATGAGTAATTTATATTTCACAGGCATCACGAAAACGAAACGCAAGCGTAAACTTATAGTGGACGAAGTGAAGAACTTAACCGGTGAAGAGATGAAGAACCAGTTAAGCAATACATCTGATATCGTGATAACTCTGGATCTGGCTCCTCCAACCAGGAGATTGATGCACTGGAAGGAATCCGGGGGTGTTGAGAAATTATTCACATTGTCCGCTAGGCCTATACCTTCGAGGGTTCTGTTCAAGGTATATTTGTTTTAAAAAAAACACAGTGGCGCTACAACCTCTTTAGGTTTGGGCCTCAGATTTCTGCATCTGTTTCATGATCATTTTTAAATCTAATAAGCAAGTAGGTGATCTGTCTCCAGTGCCTGACACACGCCGTCGACTTTTTGGGTCTAAGACGTGTCGGTTTCCTCACGATGTTTTCCTTCACCGTTCGAGCGAATGTTAAATGCGCACATAGAAAGTCCATTGGTGCACAGCCCGGGATCGAACCTACGACCTCACGTATGAGAGTCGCACGCTGAAGCCACTAGGCCAACACTGCTCTATATTGGTTTTAACTAATATTAAACAATATATATATATATAAGTATAGATAAACAAAATAATTATTTTATATTTTATGAGGTGAAATAACTATTTTACAGAAATACCAACGCAACATGATTCTGCGCAGTGAAAACGAAGATGGCGATGCGAAGTCTCCGGAGCCCGAGCAGCCCGTGGCGAAGCCCCGAGGAAGGAAACGAAGGCACGAGGAGGTATGACAACAATTTATACACATAATGTATTTCTCTGTAGGGACAGTCAGGCATTTGTGCTAAAAATGTATAGTTTTTTTTTTTCAAATTAATTTGGGTTTTTAATTGAATACAATTTTATGTGCTATTATAAATTTTTATTTTGCCTAAACTCATTTTAACCTTTAAATTTTTATTTTTATTTTATGATGTTAAAATAATAATTAATAATTATAGCACAATTTTGACAGAATATATTTTTAAATATCTTTCATAACTTTAGATGGATATAGTTGCTGAAACCAGTAGCTCTTTTTGTGTAAAAATCGTGATGAAGTCACTAAACTGAAATGGTCTTTTATATTTTATGCAGTGTTATATAAAACATGAGTTATTCAGATTATCCACCACGCACCGGAAACACCTGCGCCGGCGCTTCTACCTGACATACAGCCTCCGACTCCTGTGCCTCAAGAATATGAGCCTTCTATTGGTAAGATTTCATACGTTTTCTCATATTTCACTTCAATTATTAACACGCTTATTAACACGTGTACATATATATTTTTCAGACTTCTTAAATATTAAATTTTGCTCAACTAAAGGAAAAATATGTCACACACATATGGGAAAATATCATTTATATTTTTCAAGATTATAAATTATTTTTTGTGGAAATTTAATTAAGGTTTTTGGTTAAAATAGTGGAATACATATGTAAGGGAATTATTTTTATTAATGTCTTAAAATTGGCGACTTTTTATTATGAAAACAAAATAAATTTCTTAATCTTCTGAATATCCAGATAACTTTTGGAATAAAAAATATTTTACTATGTTTTAAATATAACTGTCTCTTTCATTGAGCATGCTATAGACAAAGACAGCAATAACTTTCAACTTTCAAAACATTCTCATTTCCAACTGTTAACTAATTTCATTGAAATCTATTAATTTTCATGCTTTATCTTTGTAAAGTAGTTTATTGTTGTTTTAGACTATTGTAAATTTAAAAAGCAACTAAGTTCAAATACTAAACAACAGTAAACTATTACAAAATCTAACTGCACATTTCAACTAACTTCATTTTGGTGTGGTGCGAGTAGAGTCAGAACGAGTGCCTGAACCCACTCCCGGATACCTGTCACCGAGGTCTGATGATGAACCTCCTCTCACTCCAGGTAAATGATGTGAAGCCTTACCCAATTTGTAAATAGGAAATATACAAGTGTCCCATAAATCAATGTTAAGCCGAAATCAAAGTTTCTGTACCCTTTGATATTCTTTTTATGATTATATGTAAGTATCCGACCGTGCCGAAAAAAACGTATTTTACAATCTTGGCAATTGACATAAAAAGATGGGATTTAGTCCAAATTCCAAAGTGGTTTAAGTATAAACAAAAATATTTTTTTAATTATTGTTGGTTAGAAATATTCAGAAATTTTGTTGTAATTGACATTAGCAAGTTTGGCTTTGGTCCCGTAATTCCATAAAGCATAGAGCAAGTTATATTGAAATATTTCCAAAAAATAAAATATTTATAAAAGATTCTTGCTTAATATGTGAAGTTAATATTAATTATTACACATACATTATTTCAGGTATGCTAAGCAGCATCGGTGCCCCATTGACTCCTGGAATACTGGGCTCTCTGACACCTGGAACTCTTCTACAAGGCGGAATCACGCCAGGTTCACTTGGACATGGAGCATTGACGCCAGGTAATTAAAATAGTATATTAATTAAATCGTTGAATTGATAAACTCCTCCTTTATGGTTTGGTTAGACAGCGGACGGGGCGGGACGGCGACGCGACGTGAGCAGTTGTAATTTACTAATTAATATAGGACATGTCACCCAGAGCCGTCGACGGTCGCGTCCCGTCGCCGTCGCGCCCGATGGTTGTACAAGAAAAGTACGACGGGACGGGAAGTGAGCGCGTCGCTACACGTTGTGTTGTATGGGTATTCGTTGTAGTAGTCATCAGATAGCGGGACGCGACGGCAGCTTTGTATTCAACAACAAAAATGGACATGGAGTTGAAAAACTAATCGAAAGAGTTCGAGCACAGTTTTTGTATGATTTGGGCCATTCGCAATACAAAATTGCGAGCTTGAAATCAGCGATTTCGGAGTGAATAGTAAGAAATCTCAAAGAGCTTGTTTCAAAATCCTCGAGAAATCACACCGAGTGCGGAGGGTCGGCTGACGCGACGCTTGCAGGATCATCACGTCCGCAGTGTGACATCCACGCCCCGTCGCCGTCCCGCCCCGTCCCCTATTTGACCAAACCTTAAGCTTTAAATTGGTTACAAATAATCGTCATACACATAGAAGTTGAAGTTCCTCACTCAAGTTTGTGAAAAGCGGCTTGAGCTGAGAAATGCACCAATTTTTTTTATTGGTTGTCGGTATGCCTTAGAGTCAATAATTTACATGTGTCATACACAGAAAGCCGATCACCTACCTAAAAAAAATATCACGAAATAGATTCAGATAGCCTAGGCGAGGATAACCTAGCTCATTACCTCTTATTTAAAGTCGTTCATTAAGATTAACGGTTCCTTAATTTAGTAAACATAGGTTTAAAAATCAAAAGTTAAAAAGATTTTTCGCTGCCCTACTGCCAAGTAATGCCGCATTATATATGGCGTTATAAATAAACTATAAATAGTTTGACATAATAAAACTATTATACTATTTTATTAATAAATATTAATATACATTTTTAGGTGGCTTGACTCATGGCGGCATGACTCCAGCTGGTCTTCATCATGGCGACAACCAGCCGTTAGACCTTAACTTAACCTCCAGTGGAATGACACCCTCGGCATTGCACCATGGCGGTATGTATATTTATACTAGTATTTTCAATTTGCAAAAAAATATACATTAATAATAATTTCTTTGGTTTTTTTAGTTGGTAGATTTACTTTTAAAATACTAAGGTTAAATCCAATTCGTTTCCGATATACTAGTTATATATAGCTCTGAGTCTCGTCTTTGAATCTTAGACCATGATCCTCGGAAGTAATTTAATAAAAAAAAGACTACATGTAACTCCAAAACATAGTAGGTACAACATAATATACAAAATGTAATATGTAACTATTTCAACAACATACAGGGTTCAAATATATAAGAGGGGATAGTATATATGCCAGAAAGAATATATTATAAATTGTTACTTATGTGTATACATGTAATAAGGGAATAGACAATTTTCAGTAGCTCCTAAAAAAAAACAGCACAGTGATGAACCGCGTATGTTGTTAGCTCAAAGTTTATGATTGTGTACAATGATGTTTATTTATATTTTTTATGATTTTCTTAATTCTTTACTTTCTAAGTAAAGCAATTTGTACAGTGGTTTGACTCTTCAGACACCCCTGGCTCAGGTTAAACACCATAGTGAATTTTTTGGTGTTTTTGTACTTTTAGTTGATGCAGCAATAATAATAATAAAAACATTTGTGTACCTAAATAAGCCTTATTGTAGTCTCGTACATACGTTAATTCGGGTATATTTAATATTTACAGGCATGACTCCAGGATTAGGTTTAGACAGTGGTATGACCCCAGGGGGGCTAAGCCACGGAGGTCTTACACCTGCCGGTCTACATCATGGAGGAATGACACCAGGTATGTTGTGTTAAATATTATGTCTTCGCTTCATCAAGTTGGAGTTGCGTGTTTACAGAAAACTTTTTAATTATTCCTAAACCACTTCGGAAGTCTATAAAGAAACAGACTTATGTATCACGTCCTTGCATAATACACATTCTCCGTAGTTGGTAAAAAAGAACACTGAAAAAACATTTTTTTTATATATTTTCAGGTGGTTTGGATCACGGAGGAATGACGCCAGTTGGCCTACAACATGGTGGAATGACACCCGCTGGTTTACACCACGGAGGAATGACACCGGCTGGTTTACACCATGGAGGAATGACACCGGCTGGTTTAGGACACGGCGGAATGACGCCGGCGGGCTTGGTTCACGGTGGAATGACTCCGGCAGGTTTAGGGCACGGTGGAATGACCCCAGTGGGATTGGGACACGGTGGAATGACCCCAGCCGGTTTGGGTCACGGTGGAATGACACCCGGTGGATTGGGTCACGGAGGAATGACACCAGCAGGATTACAACACGGAGGAATGACGCCGTCAGATTTAAGACATGGAGGAATGACGCCTACAAGTAAGATTTTTATATATTGTAATTATTATAACACAGAAATCATGATATATTATAGACTATTTACCAGTCGCTGTCAAAAATATGAGTTATATATGAATATAGTGTATAAAAGGATCTCAATTATGTAAATGTTTTGGTCATAATGTCAAGTATACCATGAGAGTAATGTGGACAGAACAAGCTATTTAAGGCTACAGTATGAATTAGTGTTTGATCGTAATGTCCACGGAACCAGCTATTTAAGGCTACAGTATGAATTAGTGTTTGATCGTAATGTCCACAGAACCAGCTATTTAAGACTACAGTATGAATTAGTGTTTGATTGTAATGTCCACGGAACCAGCTATTTAAGGCTACAGTATGAATTAGTGTTTCATCGTAATGTCCACTGTCAAATAATAATTCCAAGGAGTGTTATTTCCAGGTGTACAGCACAGTGGTCTTTTGCACCCCAACTCAGAACTACCGATGATGCCCCAGGGTGGATCCCACAACCCTCTTCTGGCCACCGCAGACCATCTGCACTCTATGAGCCGAGGGGACTACCAGGTAATATTTATTTTTACTTCACTCTCATTCAATATTATGAAAAGAAAAATGACTTACGCAGTTAAATGAAATAAAGCTGTCCTAAAGTGATCAAGTTGAGTTTCTTTATTTTGTGCTTTTACTCTAAACATGTTAAATTAGATTTAAGTCTTAATGATACTTTTATGTTTATTTAAAACCCGAAAGATTATTAGGTCCTTACATATGAAATTGGCGTTTTGTCATACTGGCCCGTTGGTTAGAAATTCCAAATTCAATTTTTTACAGCTATAATTAATAGGTTAAAAAATAATAGGGCCTAATATTTGATATGAGCAGTGTTAGTGCCTAGTGGCTTCAGTGTGCGACTCTCATCCCTGAGGTCGTAGGTTCGATCACCGGCTGTGCATCAATGGACTTTCTTTCTATGTGCGCATTTAACATTCGCTCGAACGGTGAAGGAAAACATCGTGAGGAAACCGACATGTCTTAGACCCAAAAAGTCGATGGCGTGTTACTGGAGGCTGATCACCTATTTGCCTATTAGATTTAAAAATGATCATGAAACAGATTCAGAAATCTGAGGCCCAGACCTAAAAGAGGTTGTAGCGCCATTATTATTAATATTTGATATATCCTGAGCAATAGTTAGCAGACAATGCAAATCGAATAGCAAAGATCTACTAAAATGATTTTCTGGAGTATTTCAATTATATTTATGCTGATTTAAAAAAACAATAATTGTGTGTTTTCAGAATGGATTGACGAATTTAGGCTACGATGACCAACAGGGTCATAACAGTCCACAGCATGATTATGACTTGCCTTTAAGTGTTGAGAATGTAAGTATTTTATATCTTGCTGCGACATAATATATAGTAAATTTAGTGAAATGCCGTCTCCAACATACTTTGACCACACATCACCAAAAACACTATTTCTATGTTCTTAATATTATAAGTTGGCGCTTGTTCCTAAGATTGTCTGCGTTAAGTAATTAATGAACAGCATGATAAATGAAATTTAAAAAAAAAAAAGTTTTGGCATATAAACTCTCAACATAAAACACATGTTTTATTATAATTTGTGTAAATTTCAGCCGGAAGAGGGCAGAGACAGCGAATGGCGTGAGGCGGGTGAGACAGACGAACAGTTCGAGGAGCGAGTGTTGAATCGTCGTGCTGCGCAGCTCTTCTCCTTAATGAAGCCTAAACTCATTGGTGAAGCGAGCATCATGTTTGCAGAGCTTGCACCGAGGCATAATAATAGGAAACAGGTATTTTATTTTGTATACAAGTAATAATAATGCAGCACTACATGGCTATCAATCAGCCTTATTTTAAGACAAGGTCTAATGTCTCTGCACATGTTCCTTCAATTATTAAAAGTTTTCTGAAAATAAGTTTCCTATTGACTCTTAAGCAAAATGTTAACTTAATGTTTTTTTACCTAATTTACCTAAACTCCTATATGTTGCATAAATTATTTAGAACTTTCTGAAACGTGTTATTCGAAAAAGTATTTTTTCTTCGCTCATTATGTTGTTAACACGTCGCTTTTTTATTGATAACGGTAGCTTTGTATCGTTACAAGCTGTTTAAAATACTTTATTTTCCAGGTTGCCCAGAAATTCTACAGTTTACTAGTTCTCAAAAAGCATCAAGTATTGAAACTAGAACAGAACGAAACATACGGACCCATCACTATATCCCGGGGCACCCAGTTCGAAACGGAAGCACTATAAGTCTAAGTGAGGGTTAGTTTTTTTTATAGCAGCTCTCCTAACTGATAAGAACTTTTTATATTCATTTATTTACTGTAAGAACAACTAGTACCTATGCAAAGTTATGACAGTATAGGTTTTATTAATTTTCCTTCAACTAAGGATATAAACCCTTGTGAATTCATTAATTTTCTCTTGACTGTACTTCTAAGAATATTACCTTTAGTAGGTCATTGAAATCTAAGTATTTAAACTGCGGATCCTCTATTTATTATTTCAAGATTTATGGATTGCACTGTTCTCAACGATTTTATTGCATGTTGTAAATAACACAAATGAATATCAGCTAGGTTTGCTGTCGTTTAAGAACTTTTCCTTTCAAGGGTAATATTGTGTAAGTGGAAGAACGAAAATCTCGAATTCATAGAAACTCCATTTTGGACCAAAATTATAAGCAAATGTTGATCTCAGTATTGGATTACAACATTAAAGGGGAGTCTACTTTATCATTGCTTCTTGCGTCAGTGTTTACTTAAGAATTTCTGTGACATTACATATCGTCAATTTCGGCTTAAGGTCTATATTTTAATATGAAGTATTAAAGTGAAAATGAAACCCGTAAGCGATAAAGTGGACTTTTCTTTTAATAAGTTTCTGTGAGCTCGATAATTGTATTTGTTGGTTAGACATGTAGTGAATCGCCTTATTTTGTTTTGCTCTAGGTTAAGGGAAATTATTGTAAAGTTTAAATTGTTTTATAGCTTCAATTATGACAATAGTAAATATTCTCCTAATAGTTTCAAAGAAAATCATGTTATCACTGTTGGCGCCGTAGAATCTATATGTTTTATTCCATGAAGTGATTATTTAATTCATTGTTTTGATAATACATTTTTGTAACCCACATCATCTTATATAATTGTAAATAAGAATGAATGGTAATTAGTTATTCTACGGAGTCAGCAGATATATGCTCGACACATACTGTTAAGAATGTTATCATAAACTCTTGAAATCATGTTTGTTAAGTATTGAGTGCATTTACTTAATCAAACTTTCTTTATACTGACAACACAAATCCCAAAAGTAAGTCATTTCAAGATTTATCAAATATTACGTATATCACAGCTGTGATAATACTTGTGTACAACAAATTAAATTTCCTAGACTAAATTTCTAGCAACCGACTTGAAGTGATATTTTTCCTGTTAATGAGATTACAAATAAGCCCTCTTAATGTAAAGATCTTTTATACCTGTCAGACTTTTAGTGTAATTTGTGTATGTCAGAATTTGGAAGCAGATCAATGATTAAGTAAATGTAACTGCACTTGAATAAATTATTCCAAGTTAGTTAAAAATTATTTTTTAAGTAGTTAACCTAAAATTATGTACAAGATGTGTAATGTTAAGTAATGCATTACTGAACACCAAATAAATTAAAAGAACATTGTCTATTATAAAAGAAATTCAATATATTTACATGTTTATACGAGTTGAGTGTGCGATGTGTGAATGTTTTTTATACGATTAGGTATATTTGGTTAAGTGCGGTAAATTTTTGTGTTCATTTAAAGATTGAAACTACGACCAGAGTGTATAAATTCTAAATTAAAAGCATTCTGAATGCCTGAACCTGTTTTAGTATTAAGTTAAACTGTAATGAAAAATCCGAGTGTGTATTTCTCTGCTATGTACCTAAGAACAGTAAGTTTTGTGCCACTTTGTGTTATGTTGTAATATCTGAATGGGAGGTACATACTTGGATAATTAACACTTATTTGCAATAAAGAATTTGTTAATATACACAGTTTTATTATTTATTACCTATACATATTATGAACTTCATTTCAAGCTGGAATCTAGTACCTAACAGATTCACCCATGTTAAAGAAATTGATCAAGTCAATCAGTAATTTAATATGAAGTGTATTTTTTACATTTAGAGCTGATATATGATGCGACATAATCATCATCTATGTACATGATATATATCTATTCACTGTCATATAAATAATCGGCACTGCCTTGCGATTCTGTAACTCACTTTTCGAAATCACACAGCGGTTTTCGCATCGGCGGTCGCTCTCAAATAAGGTGGGAGCTTGTAGTTTATAATTTATCAGGATGCCAAATCATAAAATGACCGCTTCACGACTGTTTTGAGAGCGACCGCCGATGCGAAAACCGCTGTGTGAGTTCGAAAAGTGAGTTACAGATTCGCAAGGCTGGTGTTGTTATTAGGCAACGCAATGCAAGGCAGCTGACCTTGGAAATAATAGATCTTAGTTACAGCCAAAGCAGCATTCAGGCCCTGACCAAACGGCTACGCAGTACTAAAACTGAATTTTAAAAAATTCCTTCTACGATATTTTTAGAATGAATACAATTTCATCCGATTTATATCTAGTGAGAATCTAAATTTTATTGATGTCTTGTAAACTAAGTCAAGCTCTAGAGCACAATAATTAAGAACTTGTCAGATTTCTACGAAATCAAATTAAGAATAGATAGATATTTTTGTTGGTTTAAGTAAGATTTTGTGTGCAGTTTTAAATAAAATAAAATTACCTAAATTGACTATGTCAGAGATGAAATATGTCAGAGATGAAATTTGGCAAACTAATTTTTAAGTCAATACAAATCTAAAACTTTAGATTTCCGAGACTAAGTGGGAGGGAAAAAGGAAGATATGTTAGGAATTTAATTGTCATTAAAATATTAAGTCGAAAATTAATACAAATTGTTATTTCTTCGATAATAAAAACACGTGGTATTTTAATTTGAGATTTCAATAAATTATTTTGCATAAAATATAAATTACTAATAATTCATAAATTCTTTACGAAATCTTAAATAAGTATATAATTTCTATAAGGTAATTCGCCCTTCTCACTCTCTCCGTAAAAAAATTACCCTCATGCGTCTAAAGTAGTTTCAGTTCAAAAATTATAAATATACGTCTTTCGCAAATTTTTATTAATGACACACTTGTACCATCACCATAATGTGCCAAATAAAAGCGCCCCTGCCGTCGTGAAGCTTTGTTGTCTGGACCACATACAGTTTTATAGTATATCTTATTTATATATCCTCGACGGTTCTATCGAAATCATAGAAGAAAATAATAGCTAATTTACGACACAATTCAATCGAATAGTGTTAGCCTTGTAGTTTTAGTTCCGACTCAAAAGCTAAGGGTCATGCGTTTGAACTCTGTGCACCTTTAGATTAGAAAAAATTACGTGTCGGGCGCTGATCACCTATCTTCCTATACAGATAAAATTCTCATTGAAAACGAACTAAGGTGTGGAAAACGTTAATAAACATCTTTTTGTCCTCAGTGCGACAGAGGAAGAGGAATCAGTCACCCACGTAGTCCTGGAATGAGAGGCTGTGGCTAAGCAACATGCAGTGCAGCCTGTGAAGTGCCCAGGAAACTTGTGCTTCTGGAAGGAGCTAGGTTGGCTTAATAAGCCAGGACTTAATGCATAACGAACCAATTATGAGTCTAAGTGCGGTAAGTGGTAACTTTGTCCACCATACCATACCAAGGTGAGAAAAACACATTCACATGCCCCTACTATCCTATTACAGGACTACAGCGAGGCTATTATAGTCTACTCCTATAAACCTTTTAGAGAACTTGAAAAATTATATAAACGATATATAAACTCACAACTTATATATGAAGTTGTGGCACCATTTGTTTTTAATTTACCTAACTAAATTATCGTTCTCGATTCAGATTCCCGGGTGGAACTTCTAGCCCCAAATGGCTGTAGGTACATATTTTCCTAGAAATATTAGTAATTGTTTTTAATAGATTGATTTTGCCTCATCGGCAGGTATATTAAAACAGCTGCGTTAACACTCTTATCGTCATGGACACCATGAATAAGTGAACTGGTGGTTGATAGCCATATCACATGTAGATACAGTCACGAGTCCACTGATTGGAATCTGCAGTACGAGTTATGTAATAGGATAACCTAGTTGAGATGCGTTTCTATATTGATTTATAAGAATGTTTTCCGTTTTGTATGAATACGAAATTTGACTACTTACGTAGTTGTTTTTAGGTGTTTATCAAGGCCAAGAGTGTAACTACGTCACTTATTCTATTTTGCAACAGCATTTTTTTAATAGATTTCTGTTGAATTTATTAACCATTTACCGACGGACTATCCTTAAATTACCCCGCCAAAACTTTAAAGAGCTGAATGATACAAGTTTTATTTTAGAGAGAAGGATCACCCCGAAATTCATTTAAAAATGCAACGAGTAGAGTACTATGGACTCTATGAATAAAAGAGTGAATGTACAATTTCAGCCTCATATTAAGCCTTTATCGTGTAAATAAAATTCTAGGGTAATCAGCAATAAAAGGTGAATTTGTAAAAAAAATTTGTTGGTTTGTATCATTTAATCGCCCTAAAAACGTACAATACAGATGCTGACATTACCAATGAGCATAACAATAAAAGACGATGATATACACACGCAAAGTGGTAACTGGCTTCAAATCATCACCATCTTCACATTATTATACTGGGAGATATTTAACATGATTATATTAACAGTCTACATATAAAACCAGGAATAGGAATAACTGAATGTTTACGTCCAACGATTTATTTGCAGATTTTTATACTACATAATTAAATAAATTGCATTCCTGATGACACACTGGTGTGACACATTCACACATAAAAATGTCCTTACACCACTATGAGGGTGAGGTTTCACACATTCTATTCCTTGCCACATCCCCTCCAGATTGTATTCACAGAAACCTCATAAGGATGGCAGTAGTAGTGTTCTTAAGAGTAACTTTTTAGAAAGCAAAGAGCAGCAAGAACGCCATCATAAGACAGAAGAGACCCATAGCCTCAGACAGGGCAAAGCCCAAGATGGCGTATGAGAAAAGCTGCTGCTTCAGGGATGGGTTCCTGGCATAACCAATGATAAGGGAACCGAACACTGTTCCGATACCCGCACCTGCAATAAAACAAAATATAAGAATTATTTCTAAGAGAAGATTGAATTATTTGTTTATTACGTGGAAAAATCAATCAAGTGAAATAAGTATTGAAATATTTTAGACTTAACGTACTACAAACTAAGAATGAAAAGTAAAGTAGTAAAGTAAAGAAAAGTATAAAATAAATCAAAAAGCACTCACCTTAGCAATGACAACTGTTAGTAGCAGAAAAACACCATGCATATACCATAGTTACAAACATTCACAATATACACTGTACATAAAAGTCTTAAAAAAGCAAGCATTAAAACATATTTTAAAAGGCGAATAGCATAAGAAAGGCGATCATCAAACAAAAAAGTCCCATTGCTTCTGACAGCGCAAATCCTAGAATAGCATATGAAAATATCTGCTGCTTCAAGGAAGGGTTACGTGCATAGCCAATTATTAAGCATCCAAACACCACACCAATACCAATACCTAGAGAAAAGTGTAAATTAAATTCTGAGCAAATGATTTTCATAGAAGTTGATATAAAAATATATAACTCAGTTAAAAATTACCTTCAGTTTAGATAAGTATCTAGTATTCAATTAAGATGGTTCCCAAAATTTTAAAGTTATGTAAGCCCCGTTGAGTGATATTTACATAGGAACAATTACTTCATTATAGATAAGATAACATGAATACCAAAAGCCTAATGAATATCAATTTTCTCATATATTTATATTGTAACCAGGATTAACAAAAAGTTAAATGGAATTTTAACAAGCAAAACATGCAATATTATTAATTAAATATTGCTCACCAGAGCCAGCTACTCCTACTGTCGCCGCACCAGCACCAATAAATTTGGCAGCAGAGTCAATGTCTTTTGTAACCGATGTGGTTTGGAAGCTGCGCACAGCTGACACCTGGGCGGGGACAGCAGGCACAATTTGTGTCTGTGTGGGGACTGCTGCCAGTGGCCTCACAAGAGCTGCGTTGCTGAAGATCTGGAAGTTATTAAGAATTATGTCATTTCAATAAATCATATGACACTCATATACTATACATCAACCCTATAAGTATAATTTTTTTAAAACTAGCAATTATTCAATAATTTCAATAGGTGTTAAGTAATAGAAGTTTACTGTGTAACGATCATACTTTAAATTAAGTTGATAAGTTCTAAATAAGCTATCTTCGAAGATGTTATATAACAATCAGCTGTTTCACTGCAGTGAGTGCTTTTTTTTGCTTGTTAGGTTTTAAATGTATTCTAATAATATTATATTGAATAGAACCAAAACAAGTACACTTATTCATATATATGTATTGATTACCTAATGAAAAATATAGGTTGGTAATTTTATTTAAAACTTGATACTTTATAGTAAACTCGATATTTGATACTAAATAGAATTTAAGAAAGATCGACTTAATGTGAAAATGTAATACTCACAGCAGACCTGGCTGCAGGGGCGATCAATCTAGCAGCAGACAGCATTTTTGTGTTTAGTTAGGGTGCGGCGATCGAATACTGAAATAAAATTATATCCCGTTAATGAACTACTACTAACTGTTAGGTCGAGCTCTACTTGAGAAATGGTTAAGTAAAAGGTTTTGACAGTCTGACCGCAGAGCGTTACGTAATTTATAAGACTACGTAACTATAGATCAAATTTGTCTATTTTACACAAAATCTTTTAATAAATAATATCCGTGGGATTACAGTAGTAGGAAAGCTAAAAGTAACGTTAATTTAAAGGCGTAATTTTCATAATAATCTCTATAGCGGAAAATGGCCGAATCGCCGATAGAATCTTAGAATTTTTTCCGCAGTGACAACTTACAAAATCACTAATAAATATTTGCACTAACACGCACAGCACCTGTTTTTAAAACGATATTAGCACTTTTTATTCAGTAACGATTTAAGATCCCGACACTTTTTCACGATTACAGATTCACAATTCTCTACGAAACTTACCAAAGAACACCGAGAAGGAGGAGACCGGCCTTTGGAATGTTCAATTTTTGAGTGGTGAAGAACTAACAGATTATACAACCTCTCTTGTCATTGGTTGACTTGCGCAGACTGCGAAAGTTCCGCTTTAATCGGACAATTACTATTGATCTGCGCAGATGACATTTACGTAACACACTTTTTAATTCTTATATTAATATTTATTACATAAGATGTAGCGAATAGTTGACTATAAATTATATTGCTATTTTAAATCTTAACATGTTTTAAAATTAATGTAATAATCTTATGTCAAGATATTTACTTTGAAGAAAATATTAATGAATACAAGAGTGAATTTGACTAGTGTACAATCAACTCAATTCGACATGGCCGTCTTCATGATTAACATCTGTAAATTCAACGGCTGTGGCATAACTTTTCCACGCCTGGCAGACCTAATAGAGCATATCGAAGATGTTCATATTGGTAAATATTATTTAATTACTATAATGTCTTGGTTTAAATAAGATTTCTTTGCTTTAATATATATGGTGACCCCTCCCTTGATACGTCTTATCAATACGTCAAAGGTACCAACATAACAATAATGCATACATATCTGAATTGCGGGAAAATATAAAGATTTATTTTAGAAACTTTATTTATAGATTCATTAATAATTGTAAAGTTCAATTCTGCTGCCGAAATCGTAGGCGACTTTAATTAAAGTATTTATATTAAGTATCAATTGTAAACAGAAAACAGCTGACATGTTTATTTATTCCTTAGCTTCTAGATTTTCCTCACATTTTAAAATTGGGATTGATTTTTAGATTACGATCCTGCAGTTGTGGAGCAAAAAGAAGCTTCTCAGCCGTCATGCATTCCATTAAGTTACGTTTTAAAATTTTTCACGGAAGCTTCGCGCCGGGAATTTCAAATGACGCCGGTGGCGGAAGCCCGCAAGCGCCTCCTCTCGGCACCAAAGACACCATCAGTGCGCAGCAGTACACCAACAGGTTATTGCTCTTAGATCGTTAATTCAGTATGTACGTTGTTTTATTTTATTTAGTTTATTTGGGGTGTTGCAAAAACAAACATTTTATAAAACTTCATTATTGAGCAGGCTATTTATTTTACGGCTTACTTGAATATTTAATCAACGTCATAAGAGATTTGGGCTCCAAATGCCCTTTAAACTCATATTACGTCTAATCCATTTAGTTTCCAAGACACATTAATGTGTAAATTTCATTTAGGTTTTGTTTTATTATCCTTAATGATGAGTATAATAAAAAAAATCAAAATCTCGTATTGAACACAGCCAGATATACCTATAAAATTTTACAGTTCTTATAACTTGATTTATGTTTGAGAAAACGAATTCTAAGACTTAATAACCGTTTTTAAAAAAACTCACGCCCCTATTGATTTGAAGTAAATGTAGGTAGAATTAAATTATATATTTTTATACACTAACCCCGTTATTAATATAAATTAGCTCACTACATATATTATGTCTTTCCGGGTTTTGTAAAATGTTTAGTACCAAATCTTTGGCATCTGATAACTGCATAACCTCTTTTATCATTTAATGTATGGATTGCTTTGTTCCATGATCGCTAAACTAGAAGTTGTCCAATTAATTATAATTTTATTCGATATTTTCATGTATCAAATCAACTGATATTGATATATTTAATTAAATCGTCACTGTCTTATATTTTCCGAGATGGGACTCTTTAAAGTTAAAATAATTAAAAGATATCATTCTCAGGTATTATCTTTACCAATAGTATCGTATAAATGGAGGTGGAACTGGTTCTTCTTTGAAGTGCCTTAATAACATGGGTATAGTGAAGTTCCGTAAGCCCAAATTCGAATCGGTTTGATAATAAAATATACAGGTGAATGTGCTGTTCTATACAAAGAAACTACTTTTTCGCAAAAATCAAACTCAGTGTTATTTAGTCCAAAAACGGCGATGTAATATTAAGTTTCGCAGGCTTTATATAGTCGTCGTTAACAATAGAGGGAATCATTTCATTTGAAAACTTGCATGTGTATCTGAGACCTACTTAACGCTTGATTAAATACGGTCAGATGTTTTCACCGTTTTAAGATGCGCTTAACTCTTGGTTTGAACACACACAGAAGGTTGAATTGTTCTGCCAGATTTTACTTCAAATACCTTTGGGGATTTATTTATTATTATTGGAATTTTATAAATGTAAAAAAGAAAAATATCAATTTTATTGTAGTATTTCATTTAATATAATATGCTGACAAGTTAATACTAATTTTTTTTAAATACCTCTACCCACAATTTTAACCTTTCATTAATCATAGGACTTTTCATGATTGTGCGGAGGAAGGATGTTGTGCCCTTCCTCCAACTTAAAGGAAGGATCCTCGACCAGCCAACTCAAGGGCCGTGGCTAAGGTCGATGGACTTTGTTAGCGCGATTCACCGTATGACGTCATTGCAGTGATTGTAAATGTTGCTATAGATATTTATAATTACTAATTTTTTATACATATAGCTGTATTTAGAGTCCTTTGAATTATGTATATTAACCAATATAGTTGCACAATGATTACTTCCAGACTATTTTATTATACTACGTAAGTGTGGGAGGATGACACGTCCAAAACGTGGACATATGTAGACATTTATTGTCTTTATGTCAGAGTAACATCCCCGTGCCTGACTGACTTTTGATATAATATGACTTTTATATAAATAACATTTAACATTTTCTTCTATTTTTTTTTCTACGAGATTGTAACCACAACCAGAGTCTGTTTGTCTGTCTGTCTTCACGAATGATAATAGGAAGCAGAAATTAAAACTCTTAGGTCTCGGTTGGATTTTCAACTTATTTAGATAATTTATTACATGTTCCTCTTAATGAACGACTTGGAGTACGATTTTAAGAGATTTAAAGGATCTTTTGTTGCTTTAATTTATGTAAATATAATATTTAATATGTAATGAATAATGTTGTAAGTATATGAGGGGAGAAATATAACATATAAACTATGTTTACAGGCAGTGAAATGGACGACGAGGAGGTGATGAGTCCGTCTGAAGATAGCAACGATTCCTGGACCAACGTTGAAGAGTACAGCTCTGAGTACATTCTACAGTATGGAGTGAAGTGAGTAATTACATTTTGAAATTATTTTTCTCTGTACTGGTATGAAATATTTGTAATTTCTAAGAAACCTCATAAAAACGTTTAACAATTATTTTAAATTTTATTTTTTTTTAATTTATTTGAAAATAGATATATATGTATATACATATATATACTCAGGGATAATGGAGCATTCTAATGAAATCATACATACAATATTACAAATCTTTAATTTTAAAAGTAAGAAAGAAAAATTTGGAAAGCTATCAAAATTTTCTAGGTTTCCGCGTCTTACTAAACATTAGAACAAAATTAACGGAACTTAACGCGAATTTATTATTTACATCTTTGAATTGAACTGAATACAGCCAATAATAGATGTTTGTTGAGAACTCCATCTGGATATTGAAACATACATTAAGAAAATTTCTTCTCAGGATGAACGCAAGTGCAAGCTCTGGTGCGTTAGGTCCGGCCGCGCAAGAGAAACCATTTGCTTGCCCAGTACCGGGATGCAAGAAACGTTATAAGAACGTCAATGGTATCAAATATCACTCCAAGAATGGACATAAGAAAGACGGCAAGTGAGTATTTTAATACTTTTTTACTAAATATACTCACGCTGTAGTAGCTAAAATATAAAAAAAATGATTACTGGTTGTTTGTCTTGCTAAATCTCGAGAACGGCTGGACCGATTAAGCTTGATGATGATCTTGAATGATTCAGGGAAGGTTTAAACGGTGGAAAACATAAATAATAAGTAAAGAAAAAGACTAAAAACGACTATTGAATTTTCCAATAAAAAATAGCGAACGAGGTCCGATTTCTTTAATCTTTCAAAAAAGAATTATTAAGCTTTGACACAAATGTAGGTGATACGAAGTTCCCTGGGTCATCTAATAGTTTATAATGTTTGCATTGACTTTCATTATTTTACCCACGTTATGTTCGCCATATTATGTGTAAATTATGTAAACGAAACCAATGAGTAAAGCATATTTATAAAAATAACAAGAAATAAGTAGTCTACAACTACATTATGTTTGAATTACAATTGAACTAAATCTTAACATGAACCGAGTAAAGGCGGCTGGAAGATTTTTGTACTATCCTACCAAACCTTTTATGTGGTAATTTTCACTACATAAATAAATTGTTTTCTATTACTATGTAGTTGGTACACCTTATTTGAGGGCATTTCGAAGATTTTCCAAAATAACAAAAATCCAAATGCATCACAAGAAAACAATTTATAATCCAGAACATTAAATACACGTTAATCACCGTACCTATCTTTTATACCCTACCCTCAAATAAAATATGATTTTGGGCGTACTCTCCTTATTTATTTTTTGATAGTGCTCATTCTTATCCCTTTATTTGATATTTAATTTAGTATGGTTCACTTGTTGACATAAAATATATTTTACAAAAATGTATTAATAAGATTACTCTAAATACCAGCAAAGAATTTGTACCAGTAGCTTCGTGACTTCGACAAATTTTAACGATTATAACGGTTATATCATCCGTGTGCGTCGCTTATTTATATAAAAAAAATTAAGTAAAGTTATATATTTGAAAAAAAAAACCCCATTTAATAATATACTTGTTAAAAGATATCCAGTCTTGCCTCCCCAAGAGCATTATAAACCCAGAGTTCACGGACAGAAAAAACGATTGTCGGCCCAACAATATTTTTGGAAGAAATGGGTATTACTGATATTGATTTACAGTATTAAAGTATATTCAGTAGAATGCCAGTATTTTTAGCGTTTTGTATTATATAGTTTCTTCATTGTCTATGATTATAGAAAGTTTGTAAAAGATGTATTTGTAGTTAATGTATATTATATTTTTGACATAGGCACAGAGTACACTTCCTTAAGTACTTAGTTAATTACTTTTTTCATCATATTTTTGTATTTTGCAATTTTCAGGGTAAGAAAGGCGTACAAGTGCCACTGCGGCAAAAGCTACAAAACGGCGCAAGGCCTTAAAACCCACTCGATATGCCATCACGTGAGTCCTTCTACCTCAACCAATGACAGAGTTCACGTCAAAATGCCGGGCTTAGTCGTCACAGCCTCACCCGCCCAAAGACAACTCAATATCATAGATAACATAGACACAAACAAATTGGTACGCATCTACGACAGTATTAAAACAAAAGATCTACCCTCATTCACGATTCCGAAACAGAATTTAACAAATTTAAATATTATCAACCACAACCACATACGGCATTCGGTTCTTCTTACACCAAATGCGGAAAAAATAAAGTTTGAGAGGAAACCTCAGCCGAAAGTGACGGTCACCTCTCAAGATTCTTTTAACGAAATCTCTTTGAGTAACGAACGCCGGGCTTAGTTTTTTACTGTAACAGTTCCTAAAATACGACCAAATCACATTTCATTTAGTTGGCATTACTGGCTTTGTGATTATTGCCAGCTAAAATACGGTCATTTGCCTAGGTTAATAGTTTAATTTTTTTAAATTAAGTTTTTTGTTTGCTTAAATTTGTATCGGCGGATGTATTGCACTATATATACCATTTGATGTGTAAGAACTAACTAAAATTCACATCCATTACCATTAACAGGGTACAAAATGTATAATCCAAATATTCTGTATAGTCGCGCTGTTCTTAAACAAAATCTTTAATATGAGTTGAAACATTGCCGAACATATATTTCCGAAATAGTGCGATATTATGGAAAAAAAGATTATACAAAAAAAATATCCCAAAAATATCCCTTTGTGCCATTGTGTACTTAATATTTTTCGTATAAAATGCTTTAAATTCATGTTAGTAATAACGTATACTGATGTTTGATCAAAATTATCGTTGCCATTAAGCGTCCTAATTTTGACAGATGCGTCAGCATTAGAACTTAACATGTAATGTTCGAAAAAAGATAAAAAAAAAAGGAAAAATGGCATTTGATCTTAAATATCATCTAGGATTATAGATATACTCTTAAATGTGATAATAATTATAGAAAAAAACATAAAAAAAGCTTGTAAGCGTATGTATACCTAAGTATTTATAAATAGTGGATAAGGCTGAACTATTTGGTGTTTAGAAATGAAGTCTGTTCTTTTGTGTGCAATATTTGTGGGTAGTTTGAAATCTCAATTTTAACGTATGTGTGATATTAGAAATTTTAGTGTAGTAAATATAATTTATTTTAGTTTTTAAATGTCTGAAGGTGTTGTAAAAAGCAGCTATTTTCATTAAAATGTGTGTTTCCAAAGTTGCAGGTCAACTATAGCTTTTTATACTTGTGACTCGTATTTTTTTCAAAACTAAGGCAAATAACCCTAAGATCAGACTTCTTGTACCTAGTTATAATATTGATGTGATTCGTGCCTTTTTTATTTTCGACGCTGTTCTATGTTTACCTCGAAATATTTTATCGAAATTCCCAGCACTGGGCCTTACTCTGCTATGTTAATGAAGTTTTAATTTTAGTGGTTACGAATAGCTGAAACTTAGGCGCGTTTTTATATAATTGAGTTTCAGGAAGATGGCAATACTAATCACAGAATAGATAAAGTTAAGGATTTTTGATCGTTTTTTGCTGATCGCTTTGGTATGCCGTTAAAATATTGCAAATCTATAAAATATATTTGGGGCTCAAATTTAATTTCCATTTTTTTCATTATTATATCCAGTCAATTCAAGTGTATGGCTTTATAACCGTCACAGATAGCAGAGTTGGGTGCCAGTTTTTTAAAGCTGACAAAAGAGTTTTGGAATGTTAAGGTGCTATCGTAAACATAGTTTCAGATAGATCTGTCTTCGTAGTAGAAGAAACATAGTTTCAAGTCTTGGAATTATTTGTCCTTCAGTCCAAAGATGGTATTTATTGGTTGTACCTACGTGTCCTGTATATGAAAGTAGCAATTTTATATAAATTTTAACCACTACATATTAATCTTAGTTTTATTAAAGATCAGCCACTCGTGAGGCTGTGTTAATATATTATATAAAAGTTGCTTATGAAAGTGAAAGATATCTATTTTGTGTGTGCATCTGATTTTAAATTCTCACTTTATAATTGGTATTATTCGTTACCATTTAGTCATTATTATCATTAAGACTGATAGTTTTTTTTATGGCAACCCCTTCGTACCGAATGGAATTCGGATTCGGTGTTGCCTTACATTTCGTTTGTGTTAGTTGTAAGACAAAGACATTAAAAAGGCTCATTTTATTATTTATTATATTAAAAAAACATCAGATACACAAAAGCCAGCCCAAAAGAGCTGGGCCGTAATTATTGTGGCCAAACTGTACTAAGTCTAGAAAGACCTCTTTTGGTCGGATTTTATGTATTTGATATATAGATAATAATTTTATTAATAGGGGGAGCCTCGATATAGTATTCTACTTATGCCACAGATTCGTATATAAACTTATTTAATACCTTAGTTACAATAAAACTTTTATTTATTTTCCGCTTGTAAAGAAATTAACTGTGACATCGTTGTGTTACTGGCCATAAAAGAAAGGTTTAAATTATGTCCGGACATAAATGTCTTCAATATCTTGCTTAAATCTAGTCTTTTTATAGTATTTCTGAGATACTTGTATACCAAAGCCAACAATAAATAAAACAACTATGTTTCGTTATAATATTCGTATAATTGATTTGCCTTTTAAGGTTGTGAAAAATCTGATTTGATGAGTTTCTGATTCTCAATAGCTGTGCCTCAAGACTGTTCTAAAATCTGCGTTATTGAACAGTTTCAGAAATTTTAATGTTATTAGCATTACGTAAAGAAATATTTAAGAGAGATGCAATATTGCTTTTAATTATCTATGGCGAGATTTGAGTTTTAAAATATTTTGCAGCAGACAATCGCAATATAAAGTTGTATAAAAATTACATACTTTGAGCTTGCCGTACTATATACTTTTTATCTATGGCATCTTTTACTTTTTATTTTTGTCTTGTGGCAGCTTGGCCGGATAAAGCTTATTGATTAATTGCATATAGTATTTGTGATTCTCGATCTCTTTGTCTTACGGTCATATGACTTTGGCAGATCATAAAGCATTCATTGATATATTCGTTCAAATATGTCAAACAACACAATTACAAATAGGTTCATTGATGGTTTATATAAAAGTACGTTTTAGTTTAATTATTTATTGTTTTACTATAGGTGTTAGCATGTAAGAGTTTTATTTAAAATTTGTTTTTCGAAAATTTCGATTTGTAGATTAAAATGAACGATCAATTGATTTGCAAGACGTCATAGGAAACCTGTTTTTAATTTATTTATTTTCTAAATTAAATGGTTTTAGTATGTGGCTTAATTAGACGTTAAAGATTATTGTGTATGTCTCATACATAGTTAGATAAGTTATGTTTTTTGAGATTACAGGTCAGATCGACCAAATTTGAGATGTTTAACAATGTTTATGTACATTTTCATACTTTAACGACTTACATGTTTTGATTAATAAACTCATACTGCAATCATATTTGTTTTATTGAAAATAAGATATATATTTATAATGTCTTCATAGACTGAATTAATAAAGAAAATAACTTTAATAAGCTTTATTTATTTACAGCATAATTCACGCCATGATCCAGAGATTAGAGAATTATAAGTTTGCCTCACTTGCAATATGACCATATTATATAAATATTGAAAAGTAAATAAAGAAGCCATTTTCTTTTAATACTTTTTAGAGGCCTTGTGAAAAAAAATATGTTTTTACTTTTTATGCTTTAATTCTGTATCTGTTTCGAATGTATATACAGAGATACATTGTCTTTATATTACATCTGCTAATAAATACGTCTTACTATGATTAACATATAATTGCATAAATAGGATTAATTGTAATATTTCAACTCTTATTTTCTAGCTGCCAATTGTTCTAAGAGCGCGGATATTTTCTCGTGTTTCGTAGCTTCTCGAAGCGGACATTTATTCTGTACAAAGAAGAGGGCGCTTTCGTCTTTTTGTTCAAAGGCTACTTGGGCAGCTTCTTCATAAAACCTGAAATATATGTTTTTAATTTAGCCGTACTTAGGTAGCGTAGCATACAAAACTACAGGTGTGTACAAAGCATCGATGGAACGAAGAGAAGAGAAGGATAGATAAAATAAAGAATACACTAAGAAGAATAACTAAGGTGAATGAAGAATAACACATGTCACAATGATCATAACTTAAGTGGAAATGGGCCCCCGCCCACGACAATTAAGAAGGTGGATAGACCAGATTAAGGAAACAGCAGGTGGTACATGACAGAGAGTAGCACAGTGCTGACAGAAATAGTGAAATGCGGAGGAGGACTTTGCCAAAAAAGGGCACACAGCTGTCTAATAAATGAGATAATAGAAAATATATAAATGTATGTAAATCTAAAGTATCTGAAATAAAATACTTTTAATATAATTAGGTGAACGTAATTCTAATAAATTATCTCTCACGGTAAATGAACTAATTTCAAAACTTTATCTCAAATTATTAAATATCAATTGATTACAGTCAGCTAGTTAATTAGTAGATTTAAATGTACTTACAACTGTTAAATAGAATAGTAAAAATAAATATATGTATGGTAAACGTGAGAGAGGTCTTTGGGAGTAATTTAAACTAAATAAGTATATAATAGAATTGTTATAACTGCTGTCAACAACTATTGTTACTAGGAATATGGAGAATTTATAAAAATTTGTGACTTCAAAAATCTGTATCAACATTATATATATCTCAAAGACTACTGAATTGATTTTGATAAAAGTTGGACTAGTTGGATATAGTTGATTTAATTCGTATAGTTGATCGATGATTGATGACAAATTTGAGGACAAACATACACGAAGTTTAGCACACGTGCTTTAATAGACGATGATACTCAAATATTATGTATACATACATGTTAAACTATTTACGATATCCTCCATTTTTAAAGTAGGTTAAATCGATTAAAAGACAAACGTAATCACTTACTCAGCCTTCACGTAGTATTTAACTTTGATATCGTCCCTACATCGAGGCAAGTATTTTAATGCCTCGTCCTTTTGCCCTCGCGAGAGACACGCGTCAACAAAGGGCTCGTAGCCGATTGGGGATTTTTTGGTCTTCGAGAATTTCTCTAAGTCGTCCCATTCGCCCTTTTCGGCCATCGTTAATATTCTGAGCCACCAATATCTGTAAAAAAACGTAGCATACTAATTAATTAGACGATTCTAAAGTTAATTTAATGTACTTACAAATTATTATGAAATATTACTCTGTATTTATCTAATAAGGATTCCGTTTCTTTCCTGCTGTTGTAATTTTTAATATTATAATAGGCAATTAATTAATAAGCGTAATTTATTATTGTATAACTATATTTTTCACGAAAGTGAATGTTGTAATGTACTTAATATAAAAGCAGGTCAAGAGGAATTATCAGACACACTTATCGAGATAATTACACAAATTTTCAAAATATTAAAAACAATAATTGCTTTTATGAACACCTCTGCAGACAATTCAGTGTAAATAAGATTTGCACACAAAAAATTTCAAAGTACATCAAATTGAATTTTAAGTTTATTGATTAAGTAATGAATGCAAAATAAGACCTTCTATCCGGCATCTTGTATTCAGAGCGGAGTTTTTCCGCTAACTTGACCTCCCCCTCCTTAAGTAACTTCCCAACAGTGTCATGTAAGGAGAGACCGACGAAGCTGGTTCCGTAAGTTTCCTGTAGACTCGATTGCTGCTTGCAAAGCTTACGGGCGTCTTCGCATATTGACGCGCCTAAGTAAAAAGTTTAGCTTGGAGCTTAAAAAGATTATATGGACAGGAAGTTACATCAATTTATTTCGTTATATAGCCAAAGAAGGAATACATAATATATACAAAAAGGTTGAAACATTTTCGAAAGGAAATCAATAAAAATTATTAAATACATTTAACTAAGTAATACCCAATTCGGCTGTGTTGTGTGATGGTGTGAAAGGTATGTACGTGTTTTGTATATTTATCCAAAGATACCCAAAGGCTTCATATAAATTGTCGTTATATGCATTTACGCATCGGCGGATCCAAGAAGGATAAAAGGCGTCATGTCTTAACGTAGACCTCGTTTTATTACTAATTTAATTGATATTTATTTAAAATCATAATACCACTCCCTTTCTTTGTTGTCTGTATTTCATGTTATATATATTTTATTGTATGACTTTATGTATCCGAATCCTAGATCCCTTGTATGTAATAAAAAGGCTAATATTCCTCATAAAGCGTTCAGATTTTAGTTCAAGAAGCCGCCCACTATTGAAGCATGAACCTTTAGATAATCAGGCCTACGAATCATTTTTAAATGTTTACGTATATTAAGAATAAATTGTAACCACTTTTTTAATATCGCAAGTCATGGTTCCTTTTCAATTGGATGAAATTTCCTTTGGAGCTGCACTTACCCAGATCATTCTTGCCCTTCTTATAGCACTCTCTGGCCGAAATAAGCGATGCCTCAATACTGCCAGGGTTAGTTTGGTCTATCGCGTCACGGATATGTGTGCTCGCTTGACCGTGAAAGTCATCTTCTTGGACGTACACTTGCCGTAATGCCTCGCGATTGTGACCCGCACAGTACTTTATGTATAGCGCATGAGCGAGGGGCAGGCTTCTGATAGTGAGCTGAAATGGCAAAATAATCAATAAAACTTTATTTATTACAGAAATACGTTGTGACAAAATTTATTTAACTTTTTTAAATTCCACACTAGCCTCCGTTGTTGTTGGTGACCAGATTACAATTATTTCATAGTACCATGCACCATGCATGTTTAAAACAATTTTTTGAAGAAAAATTAGTCAATGTCAATCAAACAAAAGTCGTATAAGACTGTATGCGTGAATGGTTGTGTGCGTATTACACGTTGTATTTTAGAGTGTGGCTGAGAGTTGTTAAAAGCATGCGCTGTGCCTGTGTTAGTTTTTGGAAACTCAAAATATGTAGTAAGGTAGCAGAATTGGTATGCGTTTTGTGGAAAGTTTGACTATCTCAGAATCTGTAGATGGGGAGATTTTATTATAAAGGAAGGGACACCTTAATGCAAAAATGCGTAGGCCAAACAGTCCGTTAGATGTATCTGGATTTATTAGTCCATGGAGTTTATGATATTAAACAGATCGCTATTGTATAGCTTTCTTACGGGCAGGAGGCTCACCTGATGTTAAAGTGATACCGCCGCCCACTGACATTCACATTGCCAGAAGACTCGCCGGGGTCTTTCAAGAATTGTTACACTCTTTTCTTAAAGGACCTTAAGTCGAATTGGTTCGGTAATCTTATAGTGGGCAGCTGGTATCACATAGGTTTTTGGTTTTAGGTGGAGTTTGACTGTGGGTTAACGGTCTGCAATAGGTAACATTAAGAATTGCTCTTTGTGCACATTCCAACTTAATCACTGAAGATACAGCTTTTTCTCCCCATACAGGCAGACAGTATGTAAGAATGGACTGACTAAGTGCTAAGCAAATTATATTAATAACTTCGTCCTCCGATACGTTTCAGTCGATTGGAGATTTATGTATATCTTGCTGCTTGTATTCGTGCGTCCATGTGCTTTTCCCAAGTGGAGTTTAAGACTGGTATAGCTAGCTATGAAGGATATTTAGCTTTAATAGGAAATTAGAAGCTATAAAATTTCGGTTTTGGATATACATTTTTTATCCGTTACAAACGCGCAAAAACGATATTGTTGTTGGTGTTATCTGTGAAATGTCTGTTTGTTTTTGTTATTTTTCAGTTTTTGTTTGTTTTAGTTAGTTCACACCGAGAACAGATTGGGCGAATGAATTAGAATTAGATAAAATAAGTTAGTAAAAAATTTCGATTCACTTCTCAAAACTTCTTATACAGGCTATCGCTGACGTAAATAGTGTAATAAATACGCATTTAAATCCGTAAAAGTCTTATTGAAACGTGTAGTACTTGCATAATAATAATGAAAATTACCTCAAATTCGTGTTTTCCCATTTTCTCTTTAAGATGCAATAGGACAATATACACCAAATCCGTATCGCCGCTAGCTGTAGCCTTCAATAGTGCTATTACTCCTTCTTCTAACGATAGAAGAAGGGGGACTTGAAGTTTACTATGAGTTTCGTATTCTAAGATCTGAAAAAATACAGCTTTGATACGTAGAGCTTGAAAATTTAATAGATTAAGTTAGGGATAGCGCGTGCTATCTTAACTGTTAAATTTTACAATATTGAAATATCAATTTAATAGAAAAAATATAAAAAGCCAACATCACGCGGTGTTCCCAGGCGGTCACCCATCCAAGTACTGACCACGCCCGACGTTGCTTAACTTCGGTGATCGGACGAGAACCGGTGTATTCAACGTGGTATGGACGTTGGCGAGAAAAATGTTGAAATACATGTTATGTTTCCATGAACACGCTATCTTCACACTCTAGCTCACGCTAGCAGAGTTGACGTTCACTATTACTGGTTTTATTTCAAAGTTATGACGTACGAAATTATCATGAGGAAAACAGGAAACAGAGACCGAGCTTTTAGCGCCATTGGAATTGTTCGTAATAAAGGTAACTCGTGAAACCTACTACTATTTATTATATTATTTATTATTAACGTTATGAAGATATGCAAAAGACTGACTTTCGCCATAATTATAGTTTTATTTATTTTTGTACATTGCTGATCTATTTCTTTAATTGTTTCTCTGATACTCACTTTAATAGCTAGAGCTTTTCGTCCCTTTTCAGCGGCCTTCATAGCAATCGTTGAATACGAAATACCAGGTATATTTCTTAATTTTTCACCTATTTCCCTTGCTGCACTTTCGTTGTCCAAATGTGGTTGTGTCACCTATATTTATGGTTTTCATCAGTTATTAAAGCTGAAAGATTTCTTAAACATTTTTATAGATTATTATATCTTCTATATTATTATAACAAAGTTGTTTTCAGATGGGTAACAAGTAAGTAGAAACCCATGTCAAAGGGAACACACGAACATTAGAAAACTATCCAAGAAGTTGAAGTTCCTTTTGGAAATCAATCAAAAATGTATATTAAAAGTAAAAAATACTTATTTTTACTACTAATTAAGATACCTTGTAACACGCCCAATGTGACAACACGCGTGTTTGTCCGTCTTTCAATTGAAGATAAGAAGCAATGTGTCCCGCGAGACAATGCAACCGTCGCCATATTAGTCGATCTAGCAAAACTCTCTCGCCAAGATTTTGAACTCTTAATTAAATTATAAGGAAAACATCGGACATTAAATAGAAACAATAATCATAAAAAAAGCAAAAAGCCAACATCACGCGGTGTTCCCAGGCGGTCACCCATCCAAGTACTGACCGCGCCCGACGTTGCTTAACTTCGGTGATCGGACGAGAACCGGTGTATTCAACGTGGTATGGACGTTGGCGATAAGTATTACGAAACATTCTAAAGTACTCTGTCACATTCATCATAGCGTAAACACAATTTGACAGAAAGAGACAAAAGAGTAATTTAATTAATAGAGTGCAACTGGACTGCTTTAGCTTTTAATAATCAGGTGTTAGTATAGAGTTGAGCAGCGCTATGTAAACCATGTGTTGTATGGCTGTTGTTCTAAACAAAAAAAATAACTGACATTAACTGAATGTATGTATATGTATATAGAAAAACAAAAAGGGATACTGCAAATATGTCAGCGGTATGGCAACTCTTGTATCTCGTACTGCATTGAGAACCCGGAGCCATCTGCAAGTCTTGACGTAGTGCTCCGTCAATGCTGGTTCTAGAAGGAAACCTTTCCCGAACTGAGCTGCCCGTATAAGCATTTTCTGTACATCAGTGTCGAATTCAAAGGCCGCTGCATCAATGCAATCTTGTACCGCAATGGATAAATCTGGTTTCACCAGTCGTATGTATTCATCTGCACGGTGGCTGCGTTTCTGTTTAAAATGAAAAAAAAAAACAACTATAAAACATCCTTAACAAAAATAAGAATTTGAATTTCGAATTTCAGCGTGTATTTTTTGAAGTTATACTTCTTTAGGCGCGTTATGAAAAATTGATGAGAGTAAAATTTTACGATCCGCGCGCACCGTGACACAAAATTAACAGAATGAAGTTGCCCACGGAAGATGCTAAGGCATTGGACATAATTTAAAAACAACATTCGAATAATAATAGAATTTACGTTACACTTAATGTAAGAGAATAATAATAAATATGTATAAATTTAATTTTTCAAATGTAAACTGAACTTTATTGACTATAATGACTCCTTTTCCAGTCTTTGATTATTTAATTGTAATTAATTATTTGCATGCGATCAACAACTGTTTTTAATAATGCCAAAGAAGTATAACTTCTTACGCGCGTACATAAGTACACGCACCCTTTTTTTATTGTCAGATACGCGATGTTTTCCTTTTTTAACATTCTGGCCTTCTTTAAAACTCAAAGAAAAACTTGCACACACACTATACCTACATCAAAGAGAGAATCAGCGACTGTTTTATGAGTAAAGAATATTTAGTTGTGTAATTAAAGTTCTTTAATTAATAAAAGGGCAGTGTTGGCCTAGTAGCTCCATCGTGCGAGGTCTCATCCCTGATGTCGTAGATTCGATCCCCGGCTGTGCACCAATGGACTTTCATTCTATGTGCGCATTTATCATTCGCTCGAACGGTGAAGGAAATTATCGTGAGGAAACCGGTTTGCCTTAGACCCAAAAAGTCGACGGCGTGTGTCAGGCACAGGACAGGATGATCACCTACTTGTCTATTTGATGAAAAATGACCATCAAACAGATACAGAAATCTGAGGCTTAGACGTAAAAAGGTTGTAGCGCCACTGATTTTAACTTTTACTTAAACATAGCTTATTTATTTTAACCAAATGTTATTTTATAATTAAATTATTAAAATCCCGAAGTTTGCATAAGCAATGAAAGTAAAAAACGTAATATATTCAAGTATATCCTTTATATATTTGTAAGAGATTATGTTATAAAAGAGCACGATGTCATTTGTTTTATTGGAATGGCAAAACCACGCAATATTAAAGACATCTTACAGGTTGTAAAATGTCAATGTTTCAAAGTCAATTTGTCAGTAGTGCGTAGAATCGATCATTACTTGAGTCTTGAGTAGAGTTGCTCTCTGATCGGCGCCTGCGCCGGACGTGTGCACTGACTGTGTTTAAATATTGAGTAATACGGACGACGGTAGTGATACCAATTTTCTAATTATTAATCGCATTGAATCTGCGAAATATTTATATGATATAAAGAAAGAATTATGATACATATATTCATTTTACCTGAAACTGTTTAGATGCCTCAACCAAATATGAACCGGGCGCCGTACTATTGATCCTAAATATCTTGTCCACCACAATTGGAACCTTTTGTATCAGTTCATGAGTATACTCCGATATCACTCTCACACAATCCATTTCCTGAATCAAATGGAATGGTCCGTCGTATGGGTATGTGATATTCTGAGCGTTGAACCCGTATATACACATTGTGTCGTCCCAATGTCCGATTATTGCTTGGGAACCACACCTGAAATGTTGTTCAAAATATATATATATATATTTATTAAACGGTACTATAGAAAAAAGAAATTCATTAGCTCCGAAAACCTGCGAGGAATCAGTGTTGTATAAAGAGGCTGAGTGTGAGATCTATAGTGCGCACTTAGACTTTGCTCTGACTTAACTATCGAGCTAAGACACAGTCGGTATTTATAGAGCAAACTGCGAATCTCTCCCTAGTGTTGGCTTAGCTTAATCTCAAGTCCACGAAATCGACGACTTACCAAAAACTTTGACTATAAGCCTAACAAAAATAATGGCCTAAAATTTTCTTTACCATCATATCTTTAACTGGACTTTTTATTTTTGTCGGTTTTTAATGAACGGTGTTGCCATTTTGTATCGGAGTTCCATAGACTTTGGGAAAAATAGAATTTGAATTCAAAGAAATTATAAATGATCTTGATAAATACCTATGAAATGCATGAAATAAAATAATTACACATTATTATGGTATTTATTGTTGTTTATTTATATTATTTATGTAATTGTTCAAACCCCATTTTTGAGAAATCTTAAAAATAACTGGTGTGATTTTGTATGTCACCTGGCAGCCCTGGCAATTGGCATATTATAGTGACAACGAAATTCAAACTATAACCTAACCAAAACATTGCGATCCGTTCTACGTAATAAAATTATTGTCATCTTTAAATAATTAATACATTTTCTAAAGGTTACTCGTGAATTTCTAGTTATTGCAATAATAAAATAAATGAATACATAAATAACAATAAATTGAAGATATATGTGTACCGTTTTAGATTTTTAAATATTTGTTATTGTTAACTTTTTTTAAAGGATAATAAACAAAGTATTGCATGAAATGAAACATCAATTTGTATTTTGACATTTTCTGTCTTAGCTTGGGCTTAGCTTAATCTCACCGTTAAAATGTCTATAAATACGAAATCATAGTTTAACCTTAGTGTACACTAAGCAAAGTTTTTCGTAAGGTAAGTCTGAGCAAAGTCCAAGTGCGCACTATAGATCTCACCCTGAGTGTGCAGTATACAACACTAGTTCTAAGTTTTAGTTTAAAAACGATGTGAACTTGATTTTATATAATCTGAGGCCCTATACAATTATTTTATAATTGGATAACTTGAGTGTACATCGTTATTATTTAAATTATTTTTTTAACGACACGAATTTATCTATATCTCTATTGCTGAAATATGACTTGAAATGAAAATGGAAGTCACGGAAATGTCTATTTACGGGAATTACCACTTGAAAATAATCCCTGATGTTATCTTATAAAGAGGTTCCTTTATATTGCTTAAAAATCCATGATAAACGTATTTCTCTACCCGTATTTAAAAAAGTAAATCAGTCAAAATAAACCGTCTCTACTGATCTTTGGTCTCTTTCATTCAAATTGTGTCTAAGCTGTGATGAAAAGAGACAGAAGATTTTTTTTGTAAATAAGGGATAGCTATTAATTCTGAGATAAAAGACTGCATGCATCATACCATACTAATTCTTTAGGTTGTTTAATAAATCCGGTATCAATTTCGCAATATTTGTTCTTGAAATCGGCTGAACCGATCCATAGAAAGCCAGAGTCTGTAAATAAGGCAACATGTCGTCCATTTTGAGACGGCACTATAGATAATACTTGTGTATAGGGATTTCTGAACTCTGCCTTCTGTAACAACAAAGTAAGAATTTTTCAATAGAGCGTAAAGAAGGCGAACCCAAATTTTTTAAAGAGACCAAAAACATACAAGGATTAAATGAACAAGAAATAATATAATCCCCAAGTCCCAATCCCAGTTGCTGTTTATATATATAAGCTTCTATGTTGTGACCCTTGGACATTGCTTTTATTTTAAAATAATGTGGCATTAAATGTGGTTTGTACAACTTAATTTGATTAATTTGGTTTCAGTGTAATTATGGATAATTTTTTAAATGGTACTTCTATATTCTAGTAATTTGATTACTTACCATATTCAAAATAGCTCTTGTTTCTCCTAATTGGCATTTAAATACCTCTTTATCTCGACATATAAGAATACTTATTTGTGAAGACGAATGCTGACCAGAACTCAACACACACCAACAACTGATTGTAAGATTTGGCCCTGAAAATAATTTATAGTGATTTAAAGAAAGAGACATAGCTAATGTTAATTTTGAATAATTAAAAAAGGGTGCATGGAATAAATAACTTCAGTGATGACGTGTGATACTACAATATAACTAACCGTACGTGACAGTTATGTAGTATTGTTTTATGGGTGATATAGTGTTAAGAACAGAAAAGGCTATGTATATGAGCCAAGATGAGAAACCATACCGTAAAGATGAAACCTCATAAGAATTACATAGGATTTATTATTCTGTTGGTACAGAATCTTGTATACTGTTTACTTTTAAAACATTTTAGCAATAACAACTTAATTATTTTGATGAATGATGATAGAACCTTATAAACAAATTTGAATAGGTAACTTACTTGGTAGGTCAGGCAACGATCGGACTTTTGGATCAGATACATTGCTGACCAAGAACATTCTGTTAGTAGTGGTGATGATCGCAAGACCAATTCCATGTGGGTTTGGGAACAATTGAGCCTTACACACCTAAAATTGGTTAAACACTTAATATTACTAAACATTGCATACAATATATTATACAAGTACGGTTTACAATATAATAGACCTAAAATAAATTCCAAGTTTTATGTTCTAAGCAAGTAAGTATGTTAACAGAAACCAAGGTTCAATAATAGCTTAAAAAATCCGACAGATTATTATACAAGTAAAATTATGAACATCTCAGTTTCTATCATAATTGGTTTATTTGACTTTGTAACTTCCGGATGAAGACAAGTAAGTTTTGCTGAGATTATAAACCAGCATTTTACATACCAACAAAGCAACAAATTCAACAATGAAAGAGAGTTGTTACACATTATCAAGTATCCTGTAACATAATACTCAATGATTAGATAATCCACATATTTACACATGATTCAAACAGTTCCTCTGTCCATTTTACAGTTCTTATTACCATAATATTATGACAAGTAACTGAATTATCCTTACATAATAAGTATACTGATTTAGACTATAAAGACATATATGTGTAACTTTGTTGTAGTAATGTACCTTTGTATCTCTTACTTCTTGTCCCATACTAAATGTTTTTTGGTACGCACCAAACATGTCATATATGAGTACATCACCACTCTCCTGTACACATAAGAGCTGTTCTGCATCTGACCATCCCATGTGCACAAGAACACCACTGTTCCACTAAAACCAAGTAAAAGAGACTACTTAATTATACACTAGACTAGGTGTGGTAATTATAAAATTCTTAATGGCAAGTTAACTATATATATATATATATTTAAGATGTAATACATACCAAAATCTTAGATATTATGTTACCAACTCCATTGTAGATTGTTATTACAGGCTTTGCAGTAGTTGCAACTCTTACAAATTGTTTTCTGTCTCTAACAACAGCTATAGGGCCTCCATAGGCTGCTCCACTGACTATCATGTTATCAAGACCTTCGTCCATGGACCATAGCATATTATAGAGGTCGAATTTCCTATAAATAAACAAGCATATACTTACATATTTGATCTACCTAATAATTGTTATAAAATGAAATAGTAACAAGTACCTATAGTAGGAATCCAATTGAAACCAATCGGCAGTTAGAAGGGCCGACATGGTACTCTTTTTGGTAGCACACAAATCACAAAGTCATTAAAATAGAACAAACATAACAAAACCCCACTTTACACGTTTTATAATAATATAATTTTGCTTGAATCGAATACAGGCGATTACTCCTATTGCCTACACTTAATAACAACAAAAACAAACATCAGTCATCAAGAATTATGACTTTGATTATGACACTTGACAGGATATACCACAGATTAAGAGTATCCAGTACTACCACGAATACTACAGAGTCATCCTGAGCAAGCATGATACGTAGAAGTCGTCTTTTAAACGCAAAAAAGTCATAAATCTACATACTTAATATAATACAAAAACCTAGAGTGTTTTTAAATATTTGGTAAATTAATGTGTTGTAATTTGGTCTAGAACATAAACGGTATAAATTTAGTTAAAACAATTTATTTATTTAGTTCTAAATATAATTAACATACACATTTTCAACTTCTAAATCCTAAAGAGTAGAGATTTCTCACATTGTTTTTGATAAAAATGAGATCTAACCTAAGCGTCGCATTTTTAGCCTGTGTTTAAAAAGCGACATGGTTTTTATGACTCCGATACATATTTATCTAATTAATGAACTAGGCTATTTAAATTACTTATAAAATCTTACAGAAACATGTCTGAAGAAGTTATGTGTTCCGCCATTTTAATTACCATTTTAACGGATTCACTTTCTAATAAAAACTTAACCGTAGGAAATTGAACCTCGTAGTGCCGCTTTCCACCCAAACATGAAATATGTCCCTACCAAGGTTTGCTTTACGATTTCTTTCGATGTTGACTTGCAGGGCCAGTTTTGAAAACGAGATATCACTTATATTTTCTATTTAAGTAGTGATGATTACCTAGCAGATTAAGTAAGATTTCTATAATAATCTACACACTTCGGTACTGCCTTTATAATCACTTGATGGAAACAGTTTTATTTTTTTTGATTTTCTCTAAAAACTTGCTTTATAGGTTGGCCTATTAATAAAAAAAAATCATCTCACCTTACTTTTACCAGAAATAAACGTTTTGTAATTGAATCTAAATGAAGCCAAGTTTCATAATTATTTATTTATTTAAGGCTTAAAATTTATTTCGTGGTTTACAAGTTCATTCCATTTCGTCCAGTCCATATTTATGTTAATAAAATTACGTAATAAACCGACTTTTCCAGTTAATCAAAATTCAACGTAACTTTCAATATTTTAAATTGTATGTTATATTTTAATGTAGTTATATCATCATATATTGTATGTTTTAAAATGAGCAGTGTTGGCATAGTGCTTTCAACGGGCTTCTCTCATCCCTGGGGTCGTAGGTTTGATCCCCGGATGTGCACCAATGGACTTTCTGTCTATGTGCGCATTTAACACTCGCTTGAATGGTGATGAAAACATCTTGAGGAAACCGGCATCTTAGACCCAAAAAGTCAACAGCGTGTGTCAGGCACAGAGGGTAATAGCCTGCCTGTTAGAAGTTATCACGGAACAGAAACAGAAATGTGACGTCCAGACCTAAAAAGTTGTAGCGCCATTGGTGTAGTAATATTATATTAAGCCTACAAATTGTCTTGTAGGTAAATTAAAAAAAAAACACGATAACAATAGCTTATTAGCTATTGTTATAGTAATATTTTCTCAAGCCTTCCACACTGTAACTTCTATCTTATTATGATATTTATGTTATACACAGAAAATTTTCTTATATAATTCAATTTTTTTTTTTTTGAATAGGGGGCAACGATCAGGAGGCTCACCTAGTGTTAAGTGATACCGCCGCCTATGGACACGCAATACCAGAGGGCTCGCAAGTGCGTTGCCGGCCTATTAAATGATTTCTAAAACCACATGAAGTTTGTTATACGTTTATGGCCTATACCGACATCATGTTAAACTAACTTCCGACCGAGGCAATAGTTATTAAACTTAACCCATTAGGTATGCATTGTGTGTCAACACTCAAATTTGGTATGCTAGTCGATATTAATAATATTAGTTTAATAGTGTAAAAGATACGTGATTCGTATTTATTATAGATGGGAATATAAATAGCTATTATAATGAGCAAGAATCTTCTAAGGTTGTAGCCCTGTCTGCGGTCGATAAATAGCTCCATAAACTATATAAAAAGTGGTTTTTACAAGGTCTCGTTTGAATAACAGCAACCCCGTTGTAAATCATTTGAATAAACTCACAATCTGAAGAAAAAGACTGCAAGATAATTTAAATGCATGTCAACCCGTGACCTGCGAAGAATGAGTTGCGTCAATACTACAATTATAAAGAGGATCTTATATTTGTAATGAATGAAACTACTTGAAAGATTCCATTTTTTTTAAGAATTAGAATGCTACGTAATCACAAAACATACACCCATAAAGTACCTAATCCATCTAGGAAATGTACATATTATTTTATAAATCAAATGTCAACAAAATGTCAAATTTGATTTCATAATAATATTAATGACAATTTATTTGTATAAATTATAATTATTTGTTGTTTATTCATCAATGCATTGTTTTTTTTTAATTTCTATTAATTCAAGTCTCTTAAGGAACTTTAAGTGATTTCCTCGTAGTTATAGGTGTTTGTTAAAGTGATAGCGACGTTATCCCAAACATAAATTATCGATAAAATTGATCAACCAAGGAATTCTTTTGATGTATAAAGAACCGGTTAGCACGGCATAGACAATTAATTCATTTGTGCATGGATGGACACAGGCCGTTTTCTCACGAGTCAAGACTCGCCCATAGACTATTAAATACTTGATGGTTTCAAGTTTAAACATACTTTATGACCCTTCGCATTTTTTACTTTCCAAATTTCTTACCTTTCAATGTTTCTCAAGCACAATGATAATACAACATTTAAGGTTGAAGAACTGAAATATCTCGTAGTTTTTTTCGCTATGGGCATTAAGAATTCAATTTAATCCATTGACTTTCGTATTTTTTAAATGCAGTTTTCCTCAAGTCTCCTTCTCGAAGATAAACTAAGTTCATTGCACTTGCCATGTAATAAAAGAAGTTTATTCAAGTATATTAATAGAAAATAGTTGTATTTTCTCGTCTCCTTGTAGTTAATATTTACACTTTAATAACATATATCTTTTTTATATATAATTTATGTTATCAAGTAAACGTGGTACATAGTTTTTAACATACTAAACTTATCTGATGACAACTCCGTGAGAATTAGATATGAAAGTGCTGTTTGTCTTTTGTCGTGTATTTCCGATTAAGATCAACTTTTCTATGAAGTTGAAACTTCGTATTTTTATACTGCTCTATAGTAGTTTATTTATTTACACTTCGCTATCTTATACAAAAACATACACATAAAACGCTGGTTACATAAGTTATTAGGCAACGGCGAACAATAAAAAACGACATATCTACAGAGGGTAAACATAAAATAACATGTATCACTAACTACGAGTATAACTAAAATAAAGTAAAATCTAAAAATAATACTATAAATAAAAATGTAAAAGCTTATTCTATGAATATCTCTCGGTATTGTTGCAAAAATTTCAAAGTAAAATTACATATATACATTTGAACATTTTCGAGTCTCTAATGGGTATTTGGTGGGACAACAGTTAAAAAGTTAAATAGAATTACTAATAATCACAAAAATCTGGTTAGCTGATACTAAAACTCGACTCTGCAATCTATCTTCCTTTAAATCTCTACTGTACAATTACTACCTGTCCACATCGTATCCCTAACTTTCGTACTAACTGATGTGAAACTGATCTAAAATTATCGTGATTCATGTGCACTTCTTCATTATCATGCGTCCTTTTTTAGTTTACTTTCTTGTTCCTGTTTTGTGTATTGTATGTATTATGTATTTTTGCACTTCTTGTAACCTTATCTAAATTTTTTTTCTCATAGTTGTTGCCTGGAAGAGATCGCTCGAAAGGGATAAGGCCCTCCTTTTCATTTAATTGTGTCAATTGTATTTTATTTCTGTATGCAACGATGTGTTAATAAATAAATAAAACTCTGCTTTATACTGAAGTCTTGATAATAGCAAAGCAACTTTTAATTCAGACGTACGTGTTTCATGGTAAAAAAATATTGTTGCCTTTATATAATGTTATATATATATTAAAATATTTATGTTTTTTGTATGAAATGTCTCTTTCATTTTTGATTTTTATATTTTATATAATTGTGTAGATATTATTGTTATAAGTGTATACGGGAACGTATTATATTAATATATAAATAATGTAATGAATGAGCGAGCACGTATATTCCGCTTCGCTTTAAGATTAGTTCGCGTCTCACCTCTCAATATTAGAGATCGAAGCCGGAGTCAGCGAAGCGTGGTGCCTTTGCATATCCCATTGCAAGGTCTCTTTGATGTCAGCCACGGAATAGCGAGATGTTTTTAAACTTTCAGTCAACAATTCTCCATTTTTAAACTGTGATTTTTATATTTATTGCAATTTATAAGGCTTTGTAAGCTCTACTTTTTGGTGTTTTGTAAAATTTGAAATACATTCTATACATAGAAATAATAGGCCGAGAAAAGTTGTCCCTGTTTTGTAGTAACGCGTTGATGTCGTTTCTTCGATACTGCGTATGCGCATCTAGCGGTCACGATTTACATTGGACAAAGTTATTAACATGACTTGAAAGATTGTACTTTTCTATATATTGTTATGACTTTACCCAGTTTGTACATCTTCATCGATAAAACAGACTATTCGTATTATTTATATATTTCGGGCTTCGAGAGATTTTTTCTATTATTTTAGAAAGAGGCTTTCAGTATTTTAGTGCCACTACCATATTTTATATCATTTTAATGATTCAAATACGCTTCTAATAGAAAAGTATTTAAAGTTCAGTGTAAAGCACAAAAGAGCCATATTTTTTTTAAATTAATCCTTTATATTTTAGCAAATCTTTCCTTCACACACAATCCCCTGAACATAATATATATATTGGTCAAAAACCTAATAAAAATACT